TTTCATTCTCTATCATCCCTGAAAATTTCAAGAAAATCCGTCCAGCCATCTCTGAGAAAACGCTCCGACAAGAAAAGGGGGAAAAAAAAAATAATAATAAAAAGAAACAGTAGAATCACTATAAGGTCTTCCGTCTGAAACGGAAGACCTTAATGATTAAATATTTGACTTTTTTTTTTCCCTATTTATTTGTATGAAGATATTTTTCCCAATTTCAACCAAATATCGCTATTTTTCCCAATCTTGACGGCCCCGGCCCCTGGAATCAAGGGGTAAAAAAATCCCTGTACTAAAACATGAAGATTATGTCTACATATACCGAGTATTCAGCCAATATATATCTGTTATGCATTCAGATTCATTGAATCTGAGGCTATTGTGGATCGGATACCTTAAGCCCTGAGCATTTATTACATGTATATGTTACAGTAGTTTGATGGAAAATGATGGAAAAGTGATATGCTGTTGATCTGATAATGCGCATGAGCTAATATGCAGGTTGATGCTGTTGATATGACACAGTATGTTAATTTGTGTAGGTACCGGTAATTAATTTTTAATTAATTAGTAAGGTATGAAGATTCAGTATATTCTTGCTGAAAGTATTCAGATCCTCTATTTCCAGTGATGTACATTTTAGCATAACTACATGAATTTCCAAAGAATTTTTATATGTGTTAGGCTGTTAGCAAAACATGACTGAATTATTTGTGTTTTTTTTCTTTGTTGTTGTTGTTGTTTATTGTGCTGTTGTTAGTCTGAAATTGTTTTCTGGTGTATATATAAACATGGTATTAAAAGTATGTGTTTTTTCTTTCACTCCTTCTCTTTCTCTCATACACACACTCATTTAATTTAATTTTAAATGGCAGAATTTATTATATTTTGCATTCACAAAGCAAGAGTGCAGTCCGATTGTTTAGTTTATAAATTTCTGCATTTAAGAAAGCCTCTATAGTAAATCACATAAGATACATACCAGTTTGAATATTAGCATGAATTAAATTCTCAGGCAGAATGATGCATATATATACAACAATGTCTGTATTTAAACTGAAGAATTCTAAATAATTCATAATAAAAAATTTAGCAGCAGAAATTCTCTTCAAGTCACTTTGCATATAAGCAAACATATTCCAGTAGGTCATATTTCATGAAAATTTTTTTTAGTGGGAAAAAAGCTCAGTTAATAGCTTAATGATTGAAAAAACATTTTCAATACTACATGTAACTTTAGGAATATAATAATGAAGATGAGAGAAACTTGAGTGGTTGTAGGGTAGTACAAAAACATTTGTAGTTAGCATGACAGTGTGCCTTGTTTTTCGCTTTTCATACTCTCGTTTTTTAATTTGACTTTTGTTTAGAATTTTACTGCTTCCGTAATAATTCAAGCTTTAGCGCCAAATGTCTGAATTCATTTTTAGTTTTAAGCCTTTATTATCCTCCATTTTTGTATACCCCAGTTTAGCTTTTGTTTTCAATTTTGCATGATGGTGTTTTAGCAAGAACACCAAGACCTTTTAGGGCATGGCATTATGATTGAGAAGTAGTAGGTATAAATTAAAAATGGATTGTGAAAGAAAGAACTTGGTTTCATAGTTTTGGACAGAAATACTACATTGGAACATCAGAAAAAAAATTTCAAGCTTAGCCTTCATACCTTGTGATTCATATATCCACTTATAGTAGTTTAAATAGTGGGAGGGATGATTCAGATGATCTTGAAGGCATGGCTGATTTTGAATTTGATACATTACCTGGGAATTTACAGTAATGGTTGTAAAAAATGCAATAGAAATTATTGGTCAAATTTGGTTAAAATTGAGTTTGGTATTTGGGCACAAAGTGATATATATATATATATATATATATATATATATATATATATATATATATATATATATATATATATATATATATATATAATGTTTTGTGTGAAGAAAAATAAATTGGTTAAATGAGGAAGGTAATTTTGAGATTTTTGACTTTAACCATGGGACTTATAAAAATATGTGGATATATTGTAAGCTGCAAAAAAATGCTTTATTTTTTATTTGCTATTTTTGCTGTGAAGTGAAATTTAAATTTTTCCTTCAAAGTTCAAGGTTTTTGGATAAACTTTATAATCAGAATGATGTAAATTAAAAAAAAAAAGGATAAAATTAAATCAGTGCCCCGTTCTAATCGGAACATTTTATGTCCTATTTCAGAATCGTATTTAGCACACTTTTCTATGCCCATCCAGTCGTTGGTTGGGCTCCCGCCTACTTTGTCTATAATGGCCTTCTGATAAGTCTACAAATTTTACACCTTGTTTGGACGTATATGATTGGGCGTATTGTTTGGCTGCAAATGACGTCGAAGGTAAAACCAAGCATTTTGTTATCCGCATGTCGACCTTGAAATCGGCTATTGACCTCACTCATCTAAGATTTTAAATTGACACAGGACGTAATTTAAAAAAAAGCATAAATATTAGCATTATTTCTTTTTATTTGTTCGCTTATACACAAAAATTTTGATATTCATGTTTGGAATCTTGTGTTCTTGTTTGTAAATGTGTGCAATTTTTCGGCTGTTTGTTGTCTTTTTTTGGGTGTACATTTTTGAGCGTGCTTTACTGTGTAAATTTGTTCTCATCCTGTGTGGTTTAAAATCTTAGGCTTGCTGCCTGATTATGTGGAGGGTCTGTATTCTCTCCGATCAGTACCAAACATGACATACATGTCTCCTTAATTCGGTGCTTTTCCTTCCCCCATGGTTTGCACATTACATATGATGCTAGAAATAAGGATTGTACGCAGGTTCTTGTCTGTCACTAATTCAGCCAGGAAAACGCTTTGCACAAAAACACGGTGGATTGTTTTCATGGTTTATTAGTATGTGTAATACACTGTAGTTTAGAATTGTAACATATAGGAAGATTAACTGTTTTGATCACTAAGTGTTTAAAATTTTGATTAAAGGTAAATCTATAGGGAACATATGTATAAACTTACTTAATGGAATTAATCAAGTTTTTAACATAAGTGAAAATATGTTTATGGATAGCTCCCATTCTGCACATAACTTTTTTCTTATTTTTCTTTCTTTCTTTTTTTTTCCTTTTTAATTTTTTTTTAATCTACTGTAGATTCCTTATTTTACGCGAGTACTTAATATCGCGAAATGGCCCAAGGTAGTCAAATCGCGATAAAAATAATTATAGAATGGGTGATTTATATAGAGATTTTACATACATTAAAGCACCATAAAAATAAAAGCGAGTAATTTTATTTCGCGAGTGGTGCTTCTCGCGATATTACGTGATAATTAGTTCCTCGCGTATATTTAGGAATCCACAGTATTCATTTTTTAAAATTCATGTTATAAAACTATAATGAGATTCCATTTATGGAAAAGCACCATTAAATTCAATGTAATAGTTCTCGAAGTACAATATACATGTATGCTCTTAGTTCTATATCAAAGATAGATATACCAGAAACAATCATGCATGTTGTAAAATGGCTGGTGGTGAAAGGGGAAGCTTGAGGAGTTATCTACCTTGTATAGGGGAAATAACTGCATGAAAATAAAATCTTTCCATGTACAATACATAACCTCTCTAATTGTCTTTGTATTAAAGACTTATTAGGATATTGATTTGGAATTGGTGTTGATATTTTTCAAGGGTAGAGGTTGACAAAGTGTCCAATTTGAAATCTGGTATACATGTATCCATTTCATTTTGAGAAAATTCTTAGGTTTATCTTTAGATTTAAAGACACAAAAACTTGGTTTGGTTTTTTTAATATTCTACTTTTCAGGAAGCAAAAGATAATATACTTTTTTTATTAAAGGTCCTACTGTAAAATGTTAATTTTTTTGTAGAACGTATATGTCTTACAAAAATGTAACTGTAGAATATGGTGTTTTATATTCACAATTTTTCCTTTTTTTTTTTTTTTTTTTAACGATTTCACCTTTTTTTTATGCTTTTAAAATTTTGGAACTCAATTTTCCTTACTATTTTTTTTTTTACTACAAAAATATTTTATTACGTATATGGAGTAATGAGAATTGGTCAGAAGGTTGATTTGAATGGTGTTTGGTTTTTTAAATTCCATGTGATAAAAAACTCAGTATCAATAATGATGTTACTTTCATATTTCTATAGTATATTTGAAATTGTAATAAATATACTATTTTATAACACTTATGATTTTTTTTTAACTTATTTATCTTTTTTTATTTCTTTCTTTCCTTTTTTTTTTTAATATTTTTGGTCATCTAGAAATTTCAGAACAATATAGCTGTTTCGTTGATGTTTTTTTTTATAATACATTTGTCAGCATAAACAAAATAGTTTTGTTTTGTCCCCCCTACTGGGTTGTTCTGGTGTTGTAATGTCTGGAGTGAGTGACAGTGTGCCAACCCTAATAAGTATTTCATTTCACAAGTCTCAGAGTTATAGCTTTTAAGAAATATTTTTACCTGGATCATTATCTTATGATGGTAATGGGTCTATTGAAATTTAAGTACCCCCTCCCCCCCCCCCCCCCAAAAAAAAAAATAAAAGATTTCTGAATGAAATGTTAAAAGGAGAAATGGGATGATTTGAGTGTTGATTTTTTTTTTAATTTCATGGGTACTGTGAAATCTGCTTCATATGCATCATTATTATCATCATCATCTTCATCATCAATGGCACTATAAAAATACCTGCATTATAATTCCAGATTATGCCCTTGCAACAATGCACTCGCATTTCAATCTTACTTGCAAAATTCACACTGATGCACATTTTTTTGTCTCAGTGAAAAGAATGCAGGATCAGTGGAAGGGAAAAAATACCGATTTCCAACACAGCATTTTTTTTTTTTACCGAAACCCATGCATATCATCCATACATGTATCACACTTTTCAACAATCATTTCATCTTTGACCACCAGCACTGCAAAGGCAATATAAGCTTTTATTAATCATGTGGTCTGTTACCCGCGCTTTCTTCTAGGGTCATGTGGTCCACCTATTATGAATGCAAGCAGGTAGTCGGAGGTTTTCCGAGCCTGTACCTCTTTAACGGCGTATTAGTGGTTCTACTGGTTCTGCATGCCTACTGGTTTTCTTTAATCGTGACTGTTGCCTACACGGTATTGTCCAAGCAAGGGGAGGTAAGTGATCTGCGAAAGCAGTCAAGCTTAATTTATTCTTATCTGTGTGTTTTACAATTCGCTCCAGTCATGTACTACTGCATCTACAATATGAGTGAGTTGCCATACATCATGCTTTATCATTTGAAATTGTTAAGAAATGGCCTGGGTAAGACAAGTGAAAGTTACTTACAGCTTCTAAAAAGGAGAAATATTAAAATAATGAAGCAGATTTTATTTGAATTTGGCCATAAAAAAAGAAAAGAAAAGAAAAAAAATCTTGTATATGGAAACATTTTTCTCTTATAATACTGAAAGAGTATTGGCTTCATCCTGTTCAAGATAACAACATACAATTAATCTCCAGATTTGTTATATGCATTTTCAGTATAAATAGAATAGCATTGCTGTTACTGAAAGAAATTTATAAAAGACCTTGAAGTTTCATAAGTATAGTGATATACATGTTTGTAATTTATTGACATACGTGTATTTCACCAAAGTTTTTCGATCTGAAAAATATGAAACCGGCATAGGAATCGTTCCCCATGCTTTACCATTGCTACAACACCTATGTGTGTTTCATGCTCAAAAGTATGAAGTTTAAGGACACTTCCTACAAACAAACCTTTTCTTAAAAAAGAAAAAAAGGAATCTACCTGTAAATTAATTTGGTGCTTGGAAATGTTACTTAAGACCAGTAAGATAAACAGATGAAGAGTGCATTTCATTTATTGAGCAGAGCCTGGGAAAAAAAAGAAGAAATTTATGTCCTTTTAAAATATTTTATTGACCAATAAAAAAAAAAGAAAGCAGGAAAAAAAATCAATCATAGTTTCCAAATATATCACAAAAAAAGAACTGTAAACCAAAGGACAAGGTATGGTAATTGCCGAATCTGGCCCCTTATTTGATGTAAAAATCAGAACACAGTTAAAATTATGATAGTTTGTAATTAAGAACTTAAAATGATGCTTGTTTTAAAATCAGCACTAATTTTGATTCAAAGCTTACACGGAGGCCACAAGAGGGTGCAGAAGTAGGACATTATTCCGAATTTCCTCAAATCTGATGGAATTTCGTCAAATTTGAGATACTTTTCACTTAGGGAAACATAGAGCACAAGCTTGCCTATCTGAGATTTTTATACATAAGATGCATCTGATACTAGTGTATAAAATATGTAAATTTGGTAGATAGGCAAGCTTGTGTTCTATGTTTTCTAAAACAAAATATGCCGTAAAATCTATGAAAATTTGCATGAAAATGAGAAAATTTGGAAATTGACATATTTTCTGACCTTCCTGTGACCTCTGTGTATCCCATAACTTAGAACCAGTACTCATTTTGTGGCAGGGGTAACAACAGATTTCTATTGATAAACTGTTGCATCATTCTGAAAGACACCCAAAACCAGGGGCCAAAAAAGGGGCCTTAGCCTATCTTGTCCTTTATTTATGTGCAAGAAATACATACACACACACACACACACACACATATATATATATATATATATATATATATATATATATATATATATATATATATATATATATGTATGTATATATACACAGGCTTTTGCAACCTTAGTTTACTCATGGCTATTTCTTTCTGCAAACAAATTTTTAATGCATATTTAATTATGTACATAATTATTTCTTTACTTTTATTTCTGTGATGAAGTTTAAAAAATTAATAGTTGCAGACAGATTCTATAAGGCTGGCGAATTATAAATGAAAGTTGTTGCATATTAGAATTCGTTTTACAGAATATCGACAATATAAATGGATTGTTTGTAGGAGGTGTCTGTGTTGATGTAATCATTCATTTTTATTTTTATCTAAAATGGCTCTTGGTGGTGGTGTCTAATTCACATTCTGTAGTCTGTCCCATACTGTATTTTTTATGTGACCTAAAAGTTAATTGTGAAATCAATATTTATTTCCTTATTTACAAACCAGACTTATTGAATGGAGAAATAATAGAGTCACTGATTCGAAAAAATCATTCAGGCTTTTTGTCAAAAAAAAAAAAAAAAAAAAAAAAAAAAAAAAAAAAAAAAAAAAAAAAAAAAAAAAAAAATTTTACACAAGGAAGCCTAAATTCTTGACAGACTATAGAATTTCTGACAGACTGTAGATTATGTTAGCTTATCATGTAAAGAATTTTTTTTTGCCCTATAATCTCTTTAGGGACATATCATAGGTATAAAATACTATTTAAAGAGAAAACATATGGAGGTTGATAAATACGTTGTTTATTTAGATCTACAAGGTAAATTAAAGATGAAATTAAAAAATGCATTCTAGAAAGTGTACATTTACTTCTATATAAAAGGTTAGATGCATTTTTGACATTAAAATATATTCTTGGAACTTTTAGAAATGCATGAATGCAGATATTTTTGTTTATTTAAAAAAAAAAAAATCCTTGAAAAAAATTCAACTTTTAATAAATATATAAATTTGATAATTATTTTAAAAAAAAAGAGAGATCAGCATTATGAATTCATTCTTTCATATACTTGAATTTTTTTCACTTACCTTTGCCTGTGTTACAAATATATCCAGTAAATGCTTTTTTCTGACATAAATTTGAATTCATTTTTCTTCATATGGTATATTTTATTTTACGTTTTAGGGACAGGTATGTAAAGAATCTATCGCGTTTTCTACCGCTTTCTCTTTCATGGTTTTTTTTTTCAGTAGAATTAGATGCTGCACTTGTTTATTTTATCGCAAAAGTGGCCACTTATGATTTCTGTTCCTGAATATATTTATTGAATATATATATTCTACAGGTGAAATGCATCAAGAAATTGTATTCTGTTCTTGTGTATCCATGATTGAGGAAACGGTGTTTTTTTCTTGCTCCCTCTCGAAAAAAAATTTCTTCTACTTTTATTAATAACTTTCGATTTTTTTTCGCACTCTGAAATATATAGTGTGTAACACCTTTAATATTCAAGAAAGGAACCTGCTCAGAAAAATATCTGATGACTTCATTTCGCATAAAGGTCATTTTTTTTTATTCTCGGTAAAAGCATAAGTGTAAATGTGGCGTAATGAAATACGAATTTTTAGTTTATAAACTCTCTCTTTATTCCCCATTTCCCTTAATATATCAAAAATAATATACTAACTAATAATGAATATACACTTTATATGCCACCTTGAATTAATATAAGCATGTAAACAGCATTTCTTCACATAATGATAATTCTATAATCCCGATTTTCTTAAGGAATCCCATCTCTATTGCCTATAAGTCTGAAATACTGATATTTCTGAATGTGAATGTTTCCATAGAGAGCAAGCAATATATTCTGTTAATTATTGTAAAGGCATTATTTATTTTTTTGTAGATGGAAAAAAATTATACTTGCAGTAATTTTTGGAAATCTTTTGGCATTACAATTATTCCCGAAAAACGATTTTGTAAATCTTGTTCATTTATCTTATCAATGAGCATTAGATGTTGTTGATTAACAATATTGAGATAAAAGAAAGCAAAGTTTGATGTCAAATTTTAGTTCATGTGTAAATTCTTAGAATACAGAATTAAATATAAAATTTTGAAAGGAAAATTCCACAAAATGGGGGTATATGGGTGTTTCTTCCATGCTAGATATTTTATGCAACGTTAAGATTTCATGACAAAGATGGTGAAATTTACTTACATGTATTGCCTGTGGTGAGAGTTTTATAAGTCAATATATTAGTCTGGATTATTCTTACTGTCGCTAATCCTAAAGTATTTGACATGTAATGGTGATTTTGCTCTGATTTTTATATCAATTAACACGGGGGGATAAAAATTGATCAGAAGTTATAGTGAAGATTCTTTGGTGATTCATTTTAATAATTCTGTCTTGAATCTTGAAGAGAAATCTTTAATGTATAACACTTGTAATTAAAACAAAATTGTCGACAGGTGGCTAAAAAAGAGGTATGTATTTTGACAGATATTAAGCATACGATCAAATGCACAATTCTTACCTTTCACAACTTTTTAGAAAAGTCAAACCATGAACAGAATGGGTAGTAAAGGGGCGGGGCCATTTTCCATCATTTTATCATAAAGAGCTTGGAATTCATTTTAAAGGAAATTTTAGGAAAAAACTGGATATTCTCTCCTAGGAACCAAATATTGGAAAAGTGATATGGAGTAGCGCTGAGTGACTCTTCTTTTTCAATGAGATGTTGAAAATGAACAATTGTATATGAATTGTTAATGGAGCAAAAGAAGAGACTTTTATGTTCATTTTGTATTTTTGGTTCACAAGATGGAGACTCATTATGTTTATTAGTGTGCAGAAACTGCACATCTACAGGGTACTTCTGCTATTAGTAAAAAAAAAAATAGAAAAAAGAAGAATTTTCATGCATCAAATCGCTGCAAAAGCAAAGACTAGAGTTTATCCTCATGTAAAAGTGTGTGCTTTCCAGATAACAATAGCAACCGCACACAAAACCTATGACTCCTTGATTTTTTTCTGTCCTTTTGCATACTAGCTATTTAATGTTTGCACTTGGTATAATACGTGTAAAAAAAATATTTTTAACATTGTCCTAACAAGTGTACAGGTGATTTGTAAACTCACCCCAGGAAACGTCTTCGAGATTTTTTTCCTGAAAAGGCGTGCTGCTTCCTTTTTCATTTCAGTTTGCCTTCTGTCTTTCTGTTAAATGAACTTTTTTTGCAGCAGTTTAATTACGTTATGAACCATTGTTTCTTTTGTTTATTATTTGCATAAAGTGAAAACTGTTAGATATTGAGGACCATGCTTACATTAATAATCATCATTGCAGTTGAAGAAATAATTAATAAAACTATATGCTTCATTAGTAAATTGAAATTAACTCGGCTTTGGGGTTAATCTTAATGAATTTGACCTCCACATGTAATTAAATATAACCCAGAACGTAATTTTTTTTTTATTTTTAAGTTTAACATTAATATGATTTAAAAAATTATATACTATATTTGTTTCTGTGAGATTTTTTAGCTTGAAAACTTCTTTTCATTTTAGGAAGTTACAGATATTCGTAGTTCAGATGAAGAAGAAATCAGCGAGGAAGATACTTCAAGTAATGGTTCTGGTGACCACAAACAGACCAATAATTTCAGTAACAATGTAACGCAGTGAAAATAATTGTTCTGTAGTCCACAATTTTTAAAACCAATGATGTCATCAGGGAAGCTCAGTCATGATGAGAGAGATTTTTAATTTTGTGTATGCATGTGTTTCCTCATTCACCTCTGTCGGTCTTCATTTTCACTGGAATATTAAATTACTTAAAACTGGAACCTATATACTAACGGGATGGGCAACTCCTTCAACGCCGTGTTTATTTACCCAAAACGGCACACACAACACTACAAGTTTTTCAAACTACTTTTTTTCCCCAGTAAAAAGCTTGTTTTCTGATTAATGTAATCTGTTCAATATAATATGTAATCTGACTTTTGTGTATTGGAATGGATATTTAATAAATTTTAAAGCACATATTATGAAATAATTTAGTTATTAAGTAAACAACCACTAAAATCGGCGATTTCTCGGAAATACGGCCGATCAGGGGCACGCATTGATTTTTAAATAAATGTAATAAATCTTGAACAATTTTTTGATAGATAAATTAAGATTTTATTATGAAATATTTGATAGCAAAAGAGATATATTTAATTAAAATTGACGAAATCCCACAACTTGCGAGACTTGCGAAAGTTGCCTATACCGTTAGTATATAGGACCCTGCTTAAAACAATATATATATATATATATATATATATATATATATATATATATATATATATATATATATATATATATATATATATATCGTAAATTTCAAAAAGTATATATATATTTTACTAATTTATTAGTGTATCATTTTTCATATGACTCGGAACTGCTTTCCAGCATACCTTCCCTGATGATATTTAATACAAAAGAGATTTAGATACAACCAGCATTTTGCTCTCAAAAGAGCTTTTTTTTTTTACTTTTCAATCATTCGAGTTCAATCCCATATTTTTAAATTTTTTTTTATTAAGGTGTCGTGTATACTCATGAATAGAGCAAAGTTTTGCTGAAATATGATGTCTGTGTGAAAATTATTTTATTAGTAGATACAAAAATTTATTTGATCTGTAATTTGAAACTCTGAAGTGAAAAGACAAGTTTCAAACAAAATAAAAAAAGATGTTATTTATTATGGTGTAGAATGTTCTATAGATGATTTGAAAAAAAAAATTGCGAAAGCCATATTGAAACAAAGGAGAACAAATAATACATGTCTAACTTGTGTCTTTGCCAAACTGAAATGAGATTTTATGCATATTAAGATGATTTACTTTTAACTAACCTCCCCTCTGCTTAATTGAAGTCCTTTGCAAAGTTAAAAAAAAGAAGCAAGATGCCATATTAAGATGGAGTGCCTGTATTGTAGCGAGTAGTATGAAAATTTTGAATGTTAATTTCTATAGCTGCTGTTAATATTAAAAAAATCAATTCAAATAGATTATTAATTTGTGATTTTAATCTTCTAATTGAAATAGAATTATGGATGGAGTACCTGATTTTAATCTGAAATTGTTCCCTATTTTCTATTTCATATACAAGAAAGATGTATGATTTTTTGTTGTTGCATTTTTGAGCACTTACTATAAACTATTCAAAAATAACTCCCGAGTATTATCATTGTTTATGAATGTGTGCGTTTGTCTCTGGATTAACAGATGATAAAATTTCATATTTTTATAATACTTGTACAGATATTTTAAAAACTAAAACTCTCTGGCATTAGTGTGAAATATAAATTTTAGCTTGTGGCCTATGGGTATCTTTGTAAATCCTGACCATGGATCTAGTGCATGGTTTATAATTCTTTGAAAAGAGGTTGAAATCAATGAGCTTATTTGATTGAGCAAAGGGATGGGCTACTGAAATTAAGCAATGGGACCAAATATGAAGCAATTATTCAGTTGGGTTCAATTAGATATTCAATAGGTTATCTTCAAAAATTTCTTGGAAATCAAACTTACGGATTTTAAAATGTTGCCATTAGTTTTGAAATGAGAGAAGGGTTTTAATTATTTTAGAGTAATCTAGTTGTTCTAATTGAATGTGTTCGTAGGTCTGTGCCCTTCAGACACCATTGTCTGGAAAAATTATCCTCCCTTTACCCAACTCTGAAAAAAAGATCATCCCTTTCCCCAAACCTGATATTTAATATTAACGCAGAGAGAGAATTTTAAAAAATGGCTTTACAAGGGCAGTGTATTTATGAAAAGTATTTTCTCTAGCACATCCAGAAGTAGTTAACAATAAAACTTTATGGAGACTAGACTTTTTTTCACTGAAATTATAGCGTTCACACAGTCTGAATTATCTCTGTTCATTTATGAAGTTTAAAATAATTTTTCAAATATCTTTGTGAAAGGGCCGGGGAAAATATAAATGTTTGACATTTTATTCTAATATATTTCAAAGGATTCTTGATGAGATAGAAAAAAATAATGACTGTCAATCTTATACTTTCAAACAATTGCCAGGTTTTGTTGAAATGATCGTTATATTTTCTGAATCTTTACCATAACAAATTGGATAGACGCATTTCTATAGATTTCTATTAATAACGGTGTAAAATGGATATTTATTATGTATATACATATGTATAAATGTGTATTGTAGATAAATTTCTATTGATGTTGTAGTCATGAAATTGACATTGCTTGTAAATTTTGTCAATAAATAATGCACTACTTTTATTTTGGTGTATTTTGATACAGATGAAAAACAATTAATTTTGATTAATACACCCCCACCCCAATGGAGTTGGTAGGTTTACTGGAATAACCATATCCGCCTGTCTTTCGAGCAGTCAGCCGATTTATGGCCAATTCTATAAACCTTTCGAAATGTGGACAATAATTCAAGGAAACCCCCCCCCCCTTCTTGGCAAATGTTAAATTTGTCAAAAAGTATCTTTTGGCCAAGAACATTTTTAAACAAGGGGAAAAATATAGGGAAGTAAAACAAGTTATGGGTTTTAAGCCCCTGGGCAGGCAAATTATCACCAAACTTGCACATAAGGATGAAGTATTGTGGATTAAAACTTGTTCGAGGCATCACTTAGGGCAAAGAGCATGGTCTTAAGGACAGACGATACGTTCCTCAATAATATATAATTTTTTCCAAGATTTTGTCATTGAAGTATTGCTACTTTAACATGTTTACTCACAAAAATTGAGGTACCTTACCAGGCATTTGTGCAAGATACCAGAGGATGATGTTTCCTATATGATCCTTTTGGGAAAATCTTTATTTGTCAATATAACATTTTTTAGTGTTTCGATTATTATAAGACAATAAGAAACCTGCTAAGAAATCAGAAGGTAATTAAAGTTTTGAATAATTTTCATACATTACGAAGATTAGCAAAACAGATATTTGAGGAACGTATCATCTGACCTTAAGGTCACTTCAAAACTGACCTAGAGTTATTGAAAGTTTGTTATTAGGACTAGCATCTAGGGGCTTGGGAAATGTTGATCAGAAAGTAGGTCACGGTGACATATTTTTGAACATTTTAAATTGTTTCAAGTTTCATTAACCCTCTGTGTACTCATTTAAAATTTTTGCTTTGATGCTTCTGATTTTCCGAAAGAAATAAAAATAAGAGCTCATACAAATGCAGCATACCTCTGGGGCAAAATAAAGGGATAATAATCATCCAGTAAGACTTATCCCTCTGATCAGAGTATAAGTACATTCATTGTATTTTTCTTTATAAAAGTCATTTGAAATCTACAACATTCAATACCCTATAACACACGGGAAACCTTGTCACTGCGCGGTAGAATACACAATAGGAACTACAATCATTTTCGATACTCTAGGAGCAACAAAATATAGATTATTTTGGCTCAATTTAATTAAAAACAGTTACCCTATTAAATTATTAATTGTACTTTTAAAAAAAAATTGTCATCCCCCCCCCCCTCGCCATATTCATTTGCGTTATTTAACTTTCCACGTCACAAAGGCTCTTACGTCTATTAAGCACACCAGTTTTTAAAGGTGCTAAATTCACAATAAAGATCAACGAAATTCACAATTATGAACAGATAAAATTAGAAAAAAGTAAATAAAAGCATTGAATTGATTTCTTATTTTTGGATGTCGTCGGTCCTAATTACAGCACCTGTCCATCCCGACGAATTATCAATAACACGCGGTATCCAATTTGTCGACACGGCCAGGTGCTGTTATAGGACCGACGACATCCAAAAATAAGAATTCAATGCTTAAAGCTGAACACTACTCGTAAAAGGCCATTGTCCGCCATATTTTCCCTTTCATCACGGCTATCCCAACAACCCCTATATAAGCCGCAGACCTCTTAACAGCCCAAAGTATTTCGCTGTAGAGGAAGAACATCTTACATTGCCGTGTTACTCGGTCGCGATGAAATTATCAAAGTTTACGCACTTTTTCCGAGCCAGGAGAAAAGTAACATCAAATATACAAGTCAATGCATTATTTAAAAACAGAAAATGCACATAAAACAAGGAATAAACGCAAAAAAATAGAAGACCACGAAAGGAATACTACACGTTGGCCATGAGTTTCAAGTGTGCAATCGGGTGTAACGAAATCGAAGGGTTTATATACCTGTATTACGGTGCCTATTTATGAGCAGTGTTCAGCTTTAAATCGATAAACATTACATGTATATCTTGAAGAGTTTCAGACAAGGATCATCAAAGCTGTAAACTGATGCATCTTGGGGTCTCGGCATGTGACCAGTATGTAGGTCACAGTCACCTACTTTTTTGAATTTTAAAACTACCAGTATCCGTTTTCAATAGATTACGCATTTAGCTAAAAATCTTCAATAGTCATCATTGTCATTTGATGCATCTTGGAGCTTCAGGATAAGTCAGTGGAATTTAAAATGAATTGTTATAGTATTTTGATATCTTTAAACTTACATACACCATGTATTAATTTGATTGCTATGATGCAGGGTCAACAAACCTAGAAAGTTTATGAATCTTGGGTTTGTCAATCAAAAAAGTGACTTACTTTCTGAATTATAGTACTTTTTAGTTCACCTGAGCTTTTCTGATTAAAATTTGTCTGTTGTTGTATAGTCGTGGTTGTGGTAAACTTTTTCACAATTTCAAATTCCATTTTCTCCAGAACCTCTATGCCAATTCCAACCAAACTTGTACCGAGTGTGTTTAAAATTTATAATATTTACTTGACAAGAATGTGAAGCAAGGATCCACTCTTTCTTAAAAAAACCACCTTTATGACCCGTGTCACGGTAGGCATTGGTACGATAAAGAGCCCTCACTTGTAAAAGGCCCTGAGTGCCGAGTATAGATTTAAATTTGAAGCACTTCACCGGCATACGGTAACATCTCTATAATGAGTGATAAATTCTCGAACGGGACGTTAAGCAATATACAATCAATCAATCTAAAGAATTCACAAATTGTATTCGTTAACACATTTTTTTAACATCTGAAGCTTAGTTTGCACGCCTTGTTCGTCCCTTTCTTTGCCGTCATTGGAGGGACTGTCATGCCAGCACGAACAAAGTGAATCTCTGTTGGTATCGATCGACTTGATTCTCTTCTTCCTCTCTTTCCCTGATATGTCTGCCAAGACCCAAATCACACTGATGTATCTCCACCTCTATCGTCCTTGATGGAGGGCCACCTTGTTTACAGACAGTAGGTGGGCAAGTTTTGCTCTTTCTCAGCTGAGCTGGTACTCTAGTGATTCTGTTAAACCCAATCTCAGCAAGTTTGTAGGGGATGGAAGTTCGTTTGTTTGTTTGATTAACGACCCTTTCAAGAATTTTTCACTCATATTGAGACGCCACCAGCCAGTGGAAGGCTGTAAATTTTAGACCTATATACTCGGCACTCGGGGCATCGGGGTCGGAGATCTTTTTCGTGCCAGCACCTACTGCGACACGGAACCTCACTCATCCGAAGGACCGGTCTCCACGTCCCGCAGTGGGATTCAAACCCGCGAAGTAAGGATCAACTCCTTACGACTGTAGAACAAAGCTCTAACCACTGCACCACGCGGGCGACTTGGAAGTTTGTCGTAGACTGGCATGAAAAGGAATGGAATCCGTATTTATAAGCGCTAGTGAATCATCATATCACTTGCCCAAGCGCTTTATTGGATTTTGGATAATAAATGAAATATCTTCTCCATGAACCTGAAGTATGAATATTTCCTAAAGGCGTCCCTTGTCCATTATCACGTTTCTCAACTTAATTCTTCGGTTCAATTCCATCCTTGCCCAGGTCACTGTTTCCTCCAGGAGATTTAAGACCCATTTTGCTTGCACATCAGTTTTTGCTCCATATTGTTACCGCCAGGTCATCCATATGCCTGACTACTAAACATCTCCAATACTAAGAGGCTTAGAATCATCTAACGTTAGTTGATGAGTCTTGGTACCTTGACTCTTTTAGAATTCTACATTTGTGAGAACTACAGAATTTGAAACTTCTTGACCATGTCGAATTAACTTTGTTTAGATTCATTACATGACATTGTCCTATGATCATATTCAACCTTCAGGGCTAGTATGATTTTCTAAAGTTATTTATAACAACATTATGGGACGGACGGACACCTTAAACGAAATAACCTTGTTCAAATGACATTCAATAGGGCAGAGTTTTTTTCTTACTCTCTGGTCATAAACAATGTACGTAACTATATTCATTGGATAATCTTTCAATATTTTTCTCCACTTCAACGTTATTTCTAAAGAATAATTTCGTATTTCTAAAACATTAATGATGTCCAACTTAACCCGAGTCAGAACGTACCCTCCAGTCTTAAGCAAGCCTCGTCTCAAAAACAAAATTTTGTGTTTCTCCATTTAAAAGTTGTAGCTAGAACAATAATTCAATACTTTTGTAAACTGTGACTTGACTTTGTGCAAAATATCCTTAGTTCATAGTCAAGACACAGCCCTACCTCTGGTTAAGCTTGCTTTCTACGAAATATAATCCTAGAAATTTTCTCTGTTTCACTGTATCGACCAGACAAGAATTTCACTCTTCGTATTTCTTTCAAAGAAGTTATTTACAATGAAATTAAAAACCTGTTACTTTTAAAGTTTTGATAAAAAGTTTAGACAAAAATCGTGCATCAGGTACACATGTTCAACTTGGTATGTTTTATTTCCACAAGTTAGAAAACAAGAGGCCCAAGGGCCTTAACGGTCACCTGAGTATAATACAACAATTTAGAAGTTAAATACACTGATAGATGAAGCATTGTTGCCCTAGCCCCCCCCCTCCTCAAGAACCCCAAAAACTGAGGCCATATAATTAAAAATTTTGGAAGAGGCATCCTTGTCTATCATAATCATGCACTTAGTTTGTTTAAATAATCTCCAGTAGCAGAGAAGTTTTTCAAAGAATCAATGCATTTTCACTATATAATCAATAGAGCCCCGCCCTAACACCAGAACCCCTGACCCTGGGGCCATGAAATTCACAATTTTTGAAAAGGCATCCCTATGCATTTAAATAGTCTCCAGTAGCAGAGAAGAAGATTTTCAAAGAATCAATGCATTTTCACTATATAATCAATACAGCCCCACCCTAACACCAGAACCCCTGACCCTGGGGCCATGAAATTCACAATTTTTGAAAAGGCATCCTTATGCATCATAACCATGCACTTAGTTTGTTTAAATAATACCCAGGAGCAGAGAAGAAGATTTTCAAAAAATTAAAGCATTTTTACTATATAATCAATAGAGCCCCGCCCTAACACCAGAACCCCTGACCCAGGGGCCATGGCTTTCACAATTCTGGAAGAGGCCCACCTCCTCATCATAACTACGTACTTAGTTACTTTATTAAATACCCAGGAGCAAAGAAGAAGATTTTCGAAGAATTAATGCATTTTCACTATATAATTTATAGAGTCCTGCCCTAACACCAGAACCCCTGACCCTGGGGCCATGAATTTCACAATTTTGGAAGAGGCACTCTTGCTCATCATAACTATGTACTTAGTTCCTTTATTTAATACCCAGGAGCAGAGAAGAAGATTTTCAAAGAATTAATGCACTTTCACTATATGATCTATATAGCCCCACCCTGGGGCCAGAACCCCTGACCCTGGGGCAATAAATTTCACAATTTTGGAAGAGGCACTCTTGCTCATCATAACTATGTACTTAGTTCCTTTATTTAATACCCAGGAGCAGAGAAGAAGATTTTCAAAGAATTAATGCACTTTCACTATATGATCTATATAGCCCCACCCTGGAGCCAGAACCCCTGACCCTTGGGCCATGAATTTCACAATTTTGGAAGAGGCACTCTTGCTCATCATAACTATGTACTTAGTTCCTTTATTTAATACCCAGGAGCAGAGAAGAAGATTTTCAAAGAATTAATGCATTTTCACTATATAATCAATACAGCCCCGCCCTAACACCAGAACCCCTGTCCCTGGGGCCATGAATTTCACAATTTTGGAAGAGACAGTCTTGCTCATCATAACTATGTACTTAGTAACTTTATTTAATACCCAGGAGCAGAGAAGAAGATTTTCAAAGAATTAATGCACTTTCACTATATGATCTATATAGCCCCACCCTGGGGCCAGAACCCCTGACCCTGGGGCCGTGAATTTCACAATTTTGGAAGAGGCACTCTTGCTCATCATAACTATGTACTTAGTTCCTTTATTTAATACCCAGGAGCAGAGAAGAAGATTTTCAAAGAATTAATGCATTTTCACTATATAATCAATACAGCCCCGCCCTAACACCAGAACCCCTGACCCTGGGGCCATGAATTTCACAATTTTGGAAGAGACAGTCTTGCTCATCATAACTATGTACTTAGTAACTTTATTTAATACCCAGGAGCAGAGAAGAAGATTTTCAAAGAATTTATGCACTTTCACTATATGATCTATATAGCCCCACCCTGGGGCCAGAACCCCTGACCCTGGGGCCATGAATTTCACAATTTTGGTAGAGGGCTCAATGCTTATTACAATGATGCCAACAGTTTGACTGCTTCATGTCCGGGAGTAAAGAAGAAGATTTTTAAAGATTGCATTATTTTTGGTGGTTTTAGCCCCACCCCTCAGGCCCCGGGGGGGGGGGGGGGGCAGGGACCATGAAATTCACAATTTTTGTTCCCCTTCACCCATAGATGCTATATACCAAATTTGGTTGAAATTGGTTGAGCGGTTCTAGAGAAGAAGTTAAAAATGTTCAAAAGTTAACGCACGACGACGGACAAAAACAGATAGCAATAGGTCACCTGAGTGACTCAGGTGACCTAAAAACATACGAAATGCAGAACAGACAAAAAAGTATGTTTAGGTTCCAAAGTGCAGCATTGTAAAAAATGTAGATAATGAACAGAGATCAATTTCATGAATCCAGTAAACAAAACCAGTCGTGAATATAGGGTAAAGTCACGTATCCCTATAAACACAACACAAAAGAGGTCTTGACCTGTTTAGGGTCAACATATCTCAGGGCAAACCAACTGAAAGGTTCGATGAACGTAAGCTTCTTGGTACACAATCTAAAAGCCCCAAGTTGCACCAAATCTATAGGTTTGGTAACATTTCATGTCATAATATTCAGAATATATTGGTTTTAATGATGAGTCATGAAATTCAGAAAGTAGGTCACTCTGACCTACTTTTGGTTGACACTCTCTTAGGCACCAAGACGCTTCAAAGGACAATGTTTAATGATTCTAAGCCTCTTGGTATTGTTCGAAAGTTAATGTCTTTAAAATTCAGAAAGTATGTCAATTTGACTATTTTTTTTAATTGACACACCCCCTGGCACACCCCAACGGGCATCAACTGAAAAGTTTTGATGAACCAAGGCCTCGTAGTGTCCAATGTAGAGACAGAAATGATATTGTATTTTGTCTTACAGAGGAGGTGCTTCCATCTCAAGTCTCCATGATGTCAACAGTTTATTGTACATATAGCTGAGCTCAAGTCTTATTACCTGAAACAAATGTGTTTTCTTCTCCTGCAAATGGTAACACTTTTCACAGAAACGATTAGTTCTCTGAGTGGTTTATTCAGTAGGAACAACTTCAGTGAATCAGCTTTTGGAAAGTGACAGCCAAGGGATCTGTCTAAGGGATTTTATTCGTTTACTTTTTATATATACACTACTTCCTCTACAGACTCAATATCTGTCACTAAAATGTTCACACTTTCAACCACTGCTTTTGAGGACGTAAAGTGTATTCATAGATCTAATATTTAATATTAGACTGACGTGCGATTACTTGAAAGTCGTTGAGAAAAAAAAAGCTAGTATATGAAATGAATTCATAACCAATTACTTAACCAGATTTTACTATTTAAATCTAATACAAAGGATTTACATGTATGTCAGAATATTGCTATTTACTCTTCCTCTTTAGAACTTTCTTTTGAACGTATGCCAAAGATTTTACAGGTTTTTGATGCAACTCCTTGATATTTTACCTCTTTTATACACTTAGAAGCTTAAAAGACGGTCCTTCACAACTTTATTTTCATTTGAATATTTTATTGGCCCATTGTAATCAAGATTGAAAGCAGCTGTTAGAGGTTACTAACCCAATATTTTATAGTACAATCATGTGATTTTAAAATTGGCAGAATAAAGTATTGTGTAAACAAACAACAAAATGTACATAACATTTCGAAAATGGAAACTAAGATTTAATATATTTGTCAATGAGTTAACACTCACTAGTAAAATGAATCAGCACTCCATGTCGCGCGTATATAATTACCCTGCCTTTTGATTAGTACAACTTTTTTTTCGATGCATTAAATGTATATAAATATGTATTTCATAGCAGACAAGTAAATAGAATACCGAGAATGGTTACATAACACGTAACAGTATATGTACCCATTCACCACACACGTAGTCTAGTAACACACTTTTGGTTCATTAGGTAAAACAGGTGAACACTTCGAAAACGTTATGATGGACACTGCTAATCTTTAAAAATGGCGCTGAAAAGTTTTAGGAATATACAAATGAAATGAGCATTTAGTTTACTTATTGCAGGACCTCTTCACAGACACATCACGCATCGTAAGAACTGAAAGGAAAAAATATAATTATGTATACTTTTAGAAATATTTACACATTACTTCTCTTATAAATTATATCTCATAATAAGTTAAGGACACTTGCTAAGAACACACATTTAAAAATCATGAAAATGGATACCAAATTTATTAGTATGTTTAAATAAATCAATTGAATAAGTTTAGCTACATAAAGTTTGAAGTTTTTAAATGCTAAACTAAGTTTAGATAATGAATATACATTTAGCTACATAAAGTTTAATGCTCATTTTAAGATTTCTCAATGATGTCAGATGAAGTGATAAAATGAAATGTAAAGATTTATGAGGAACGGCAAAAGATGAGAACTTTGGACATAATAGAAAATATATAATTTCTTGATTTAAGAATTTGATACTTTATCATTTACAATCAAAATAGGTCAAGAATATAACCAATCCTAATATCCAGGTTTATGGTTAAAGCAAGTGTCCACACTTCAGTATAGATTCAAAGATTCAGGAAAGATACAAAGCTTCAGGAAAATCTCCCGTCTCGATATTTTTAGGGACCGTCTCAAAAAAGGTAAACATTTATTGAGGGACTGTACAAGTAACAGCAAAGCAAAATGATAAAAATACTACTTAAGACTTGTTCAAATTGTAATATGTAATAAGTTAAATGATATTGCACATCTATGGTGGCATATTTATGTCATCCACATAATTTTTGTCAACAAAAGATATCGTGTCAAGTCAAGATAACTTACTGATTTTGTCGGGATACGCCAACGTCTATTTCGTCTAGTCAAGGTATAAGCTACATGTATCACATTTTGTTGCGATAGCTATAAGACCGCGGAACATTAACTGGAAAAATTGGAAATATGCAGCTTACGTCATTTCTATCGGTTACAATCAAAACATTTAATGAAAAACAATGGAATAGGCGGGTACAATTCGGCACGGATGTCCGAGAAAACATTGGATTGAAATTCTAGTTTGAAAATCATTTTCAATCCACCTTAGCTACGCTAGAATGTAATGCGTTACTGATTGACCCAGAATACAAATAATTTCAATTTCGGAATATTTTGAAGCTTAAATATATAAATAAGAATTTTTGACCAGTGCTTTTAAAGAAATACAAGGGGACAAATATTTGATTTCTGTTAGGTATGTGCATGCATGTGTTGGGGGGGGGGGCGATCTTGGAAATAAAAAAGATTTTTTTTTTTTTTTAAAGTTTGGACAACCCCCTCCCTGCTTTTGATTGGGAAACATTTTCCAATGAAGACAAAACTAAAAAAAAAAATACCTCTTGTCATCCTAGAAAAAAATATATTTTGTCATGTGAAGGCATGATCTGACTGGACAATTTTTTACCCCCCCCCTTTCTAGAATCAAATCTGAAAAAATAATCTCTGTCTTCCACGACTTACGTGTTCTTAAAATTATAGGCTAAAACTCATATAAACAATGATAAATATGAATTTCAAACAACATGTATTTGGGAATTGAAATTATTTGTCTTTTGGATCATACAATTATCCCACTCTGCGTTTGAAAACAGCTCAGGTTGATTGAAAATGAATTTCAAACTAGAATTTCAATCCAATGTTTTCTCGGACGTCCGTGCCGAATTGTACCCGCCCATTTCATTGTCTAGCATTACATGTTTTGACTGTAACAGATGGAAAAGACGTAAGCTGTATATTTCCAATTTTGCCAGTTAATGTTCCGCGGTCTTATCTCGACATGACGAGGTAATTTATTTTGTATCGAGACTAAAAATGTAGCGTTGACAAGTTTTTAATATCATAAATATGCCACCATATAAATGATATTAAAAATACCAGTACAAAAATGTAAGTACGATGTATTTCACAATATTGCGAAAAATATTGTGCAATGGAAACCCAAGTCGATCTCATTATAATTTAAGTATGAAAAGAAGAAAATTCGATCCTTACGTCATCATATCCAAATGTACAATTTCCTGTTTCCTGTCCATGCATCATGGCATCCCTTTTCCTGAAAGCGTCTGGAAAAAAATAAAGTAATTTAAATTATTGTTTCATTTTAACAAACTTTTCTTTACTACTATAAAACACAGAAGTAGATTTTCGAACATGTGCGTATTTGCTTATTTTACTCGCTGAATCTTTTGACCATTAATAGGAAGACTATTGCACCGGGGATGAACATAAGTTCATATAATATGTAGTTTCAGATGCATGCATGATTTACGAAACTGACATGGTATATTTTCGAATGTCCTACCGTGAATATGAACATGCGTAGTCCAGTGCAAAAAAAGTCTGCATCATCCAGACGTTTGCGTTTACCTCCAACAAAATTTAAAGCTATACCCAAAGGTCTGGATGATGCATACTAAATGACGAGCACATTCACTTTCACACGGGTGGCCATTTTTCATTGCACCACCTCTTGACAAAAATATTTTGCATAGAAAGCGTCAAGACGTTTGTTCGACGGTAATGCAAACATCTTGATAATGCAGATTATTAAAAATTCAATAATAATTTGCCTAAAATTCTATCCTGAATTTTGACTAGATCTGCTTGAATTTGAAATTTATTTTTCTTTTTATCCCAATGAATTGTCAGAAAAATAACATCATTAGAAGATATTCAAATTTAGTGAGGATGGGATTTGAATCTTTTAAACTCATCAGATTTCTCACTCTATCCAGCATTTATAGCGATACATTAAATATCTTATTTCATTTGTTTTAACTACACAAGATATTTTTCTTTCGACATATCGATTTCTCTAAATTATATATAATATCTGTATTATTTACCAATTGGAAATACATGTATTTGGATACCTGTGTAAGCCCTAAGTCTGACGCTGACGGACACGAAGTCATCAAAAGCACAAAGACAGGCATTGCCGCCGCCACGGGGTAGAACTCGGGAATATCGCTTTAAAATTGTTTCTGTGGCCTGTGGTGTTATCCGATAACCTTAAAAAAGGACACATAAGTTTAAGATGCATCAAATAAGGGTGCTGTTTGATTTTATTCTCTCGTGTAAGATAAAAAAAAAAATATGAACTCATGCTGAATTTCACAGAACATGACTCTTTTATTGTAAAATTGATTTCTCTTAAATTAATGTACATTTAGCTCTCTTCAAAGAAATTATACTCCATAAGAAAATTTTGAAAGCTTATTTGATTTTATGACATCAAAAAGCATTATTTCTACTATCCATGGTAATGTATAAGAAATTTAAATATTTTATGACGTACCGTAAAGGTTAGTGATGACGTTGACAAGTTCATTGGCCTCGATGAAGCCGGACCTGTCGCTATCATATTGTTGAAAAACTCTAAACCAAGCGATCAGACATTGCTGTAATTCCATGAATTCATTCCACTGCATGAAACCGTCTTGTGAGCGCTGTTTATACGGTTAAGGTCAAAATCAAGGTGTAAGGTCAAATGGTGTAGGGTCAATGTGATTAAGGTCAAAAGGTGTAAATAAAATGTCTTTATATAGCCTAAACTACATATTTTTAATCAAATAAGTAAAATATGTCTTTTTTTTCAAATGTATTGATATTTTTACGTTTCACAAAAAATAAATAAATAAATAAAATAAAATTAATAGTTAAAAACAATAAAATAAAAATACATTCTATACATAGATGGTGCGTTATCACGCTAACACTGAGGCTGACCTCTATCCTGAGGGACAAATTACATCAAAATTCTGATTTTTATTCATATGCGGCAGTGAAAGGAGAAAAAACACCGTTTGATTTCATTTATTGTGAGGCCAGACAAAGATTGACTTATTTTCAACTATGTTAAAATGTATATTTAGCATTGTTTGTGGTTATTTCGAATATTTGTAGATTTTCATTATAAAATGAGTTTCATGACGTCATAATACAAACATCATATAATGTGGGTAGCACGTGACCTGTGTGCACACATTGATAAAAATTAAAAAAAAAATCTCTTGAGTGAAATAGAATATCCAATATTGTTCTATTTATAGAATTGATTACTAGTAGGAAAAATGTGATGGATTTCCCCATCTCCCGTAAACATGAAGTTTTGATTCAAAGAAATCTATTTACGGATAAAAAATGTCTCTGACGAGACTGTAGCTCTACTGATTTGTATATAACAAAGAAAGCGAAAAGTAGCACCTGTAATTGAAACTATGGCAACAGCAATAAATAGAATAATAATTAGTCTCTTTGTTTTGTTGCAATCGGACCAAAACTGATGCCATTTGAATGGATTTCACATAACTTTCTATTTATAGTAACTAAGGAGTAGCGTTTTGAAAAGTTTTTTTTATAGACAGACGGACGGACTACGGACACCTTACTATCGCGTAAGCTCTTCTGGTTATGAGCTAAAAAAAATAATTGGCATTAGATAGGTACGCTGGATGCCTGTAGCGACATTTTAATAATAAAAGGAAATTGTTTACACAATAGGCCCGAGAAGTATATGTAGAACATTCTAAGATTTCTTACTCACAGTAAAATGTTTTCACCAGGGTCTCATCGTTTAATGCATGGTGTAATATCTGAGGTTTTACCCAATAAAAAAAACTGTTGAAAAGGTGAGCATTTTTAAAAAGAGGATACGTCCAACATAGCTATCATAATGCTGAAAAAAAAGTAAAAGTTTACTTAACAAAGAATTCAAAGTTGCTTTTGGGAAGACCGTATTGCATATAATGTAAATAAGATTCTCTTGCTCGCTAATTCTGTTTAAGCTATAAGCTCTAAGTATTGTTCAAATCAGTCAAGTAGATATAATCAATTAAATATAAAGTGATGTTAAAATATAACAGAAAGGCAGGGATTATATTATGTATATTTGATTTCTTGATTTTATCCTTTGAATTAAAAACATTTTCAGTAATGACTTTACAAAGAACTAACTTCCATTTTTTGTATATAAATCCAAAATTTCACACTTATGTAAGGCTAGCATTCTTGTCAAACTTTTATCTCTGAATATGATTAATATGCCTTAAATGTGTAAAAGTGATATTATATGTATACAAGAACAGTTTTGTACACTCTTCTATAAAGGAAAAAAGGATTTATCAAGTATGTTTACACTAAGGATGAGTTGCAATGAACATTTATCAAAGTGCTCTAAATGAACTAAAGGACAGAAAAACACGTTTTAACAAATGGCTACATCCTCATCAAATACAATTTAAAATTCATAAAATTACAAACTGAATATGTACTTAATTTAGTGTGTTCATAATTTAGCAAATTTAAAATAGTTATTTATGAATAACACTAAAACTGATTAAATTTATCTTGTGTGAGTAAATTTCAATCCAGTAATTCTGAACTGAGACACAGAATAAGTCGCTAAAATAAGAAATCCAAAGCTAAAAATAAACTGTGCTTCAAAGGTACAAAAAAATAAATAGTTTGGTTATATCACTGATTGTACAGATAACAGAAGATTTCGTAACACTAGCTAGCATACAAAAAAGCATTATTTTTTCTTATGGGGGCATTTTAGATTCCCCTTTAAGTCCATTTCACTAAGGATGCTAGCTCTCTAATGACATAATATACCTACTCAAGAATGAAAGGATACATCCAGCATGGCCAACATGATACTATAAAATGAATATACATGAAAATAATCAATAGATTCGAATTTGGAAACTGACAATCTCATTCTCTCTCTCTCTTACCTGCATAACTCTCTACTCCAATTAACTGAAAGAAAAATCGTAAGTATACATTAATTTGCGAAATGTTTTACACTTTACTTCATGTTTGTGTTTAGTTTGTTCATTTTGTTTATGTTTTTGCTTTACTTTTTTGTGTTGTCGAAATTGTGACAGAAAAAAATTACATACATGTACAGTTGAGAACTTCTTATGTCGAACTGAGTTGGAAATCTCAAGCAGTTTTTTAAATATGTATTTTAATCTCAATATCTAAAATCCTCTGATATCATGAAGTTTTTGCTAGGCACCATTGAGTTCGAGATAACTAAGTTTGACTGTACTTACTTCTGAAATAGTTCCTGATGGTGTGACAATTATTCATGATGTTCATAAGATCTTCAGCTTGGATTGCCTGTCTTTGCTGAAATTATTCATCAATTTGAAAGATATCAATCGTCAGATTTTGAAACACATTATCCACATACCTTTATTTATCTTCTACCGATAAAAAAAATCTTCCGAAATTTAAACTTATTTTTGAAACACTGATTTGTAACTACATGTAATACATTAAATATATGTATTAAGGCGACTTGAGCAATTTATGAATAATTTTGTCAAAAATTAAAAAAAATCTTAACAATTGCAAGCAAATTTATAAGCATCAACAGTGACTAATCTGCACATATTAATTACATATTAAATATGTTGAAAATAAGATTTTATATCATTCTGTAATTCATACCGCGTTTGCAGGATTTTTCATCATCTCGGTGTTAAAAACATGCCATAGTTCGTCTTGGGAACCAAATTGGAATGCCTGAAAATAAATAAATGCATTTCGGAATTTGGAAACATAATTCAATAATTCATAAACGAATGCAAAAGATCTGCACTTAAAAGGAAAAAAATCAATGCATTAAATTTCTGCAAATGAAAAATGAGTCACATGATATTTTATACATGGGCTTGAATTCAACAAGTCAAAACAAAATAAATACATTCAACTGTATTATAATAATAACTAAAAAATGATTAGAATTTACAACCCTCAAAAATTTAAAGCTATGAAGCAGGTGCTCGCCCTTGGATCCGCGCCTCATGATTTACACGTACCTGCCATGCGTTGACAGAGAAGACGTTTTGTTGAAAATATCCTCCATAACTTCCATACTGCTGGCTTGGCTGTTGGTATTGTTGATACTGAGGCTGTTGGTACGGCTGGAATCCCATTTGATAACCCCCTTGTTGGTAACCGCCTTGCTGGTAATACGCCATATTTTTACCTTAAAGTTGTTGTCGATGAATCGCTTTGTCCGGTTATGTAATTGTAGTTTTAGCTGTCTTGCACAATTCCAAATATTTGGCAATGCTGTGACGTAATAATGAGGTCGGAGTTTATCTCGTAATTTAAAGCAAAATCTTTGTTGCTAGGGAAGCTTCACTGACAGTATGAAAGTTTATTTTGGTCGTTAGAGTTATTTCCCGTTTGTTTACTTCCGGATTAATTTGAGTGAAGAACATGGCGCGCATATTTAAACATGCTTTATAATATTTAAAAATTATTTCAGTCCCATAGGCCTACCTTGTCAAACTCATGCCAGAGATTGCAAAGAGATATATTAGCATGGATTTCCATGGTTGCTTATGTGTACTTGTACATTGTTGTTATAATAATTTATTACAAGTGAAAGTACATGTATGTAGGACATTTAATGAATTTAAGAGAACTGAGCAAAACCCGAATTCCATAGTTTTTAATAACTTAATTAAGATATTATGATAAAAACATAGTACTAGCATTTCATAGAGTCGTATATATATGTATTCAAATCTTAATAGATTTTAATTGAATATTTTACATATTCGAAAAATTCATTATTATATTTTGTTTATGTCTTTTAGTAACCAGACACTATTTAAAAAAAAAAAAAATCAGTGCAGACATTCTCCCTTATTATTTTTTTTTAGCGTATTGTTTGTTATATATATATATATATATATATATATATATATATATATATATATATATATATATATATATATATATATATATATATATATATATATATATATATATATATAAAAATTAAAATAGCTTAAAAATCGACTTATTCAATATTCCTCAGTTTGAAGTCTAAAAAATAATTAATCAGGTGGTATACAGAGATACTACAAACTGATATAGGCGGCCGTTCGAATGGTACATAAGTTTTCTTGTTCTGATGATTTGGAGGGGAGTCCTATTTTCTACAGCTGTAGAGCGGGCAAATTAAATTGGAAAAAAAAAATCAAAAGCTTTCACTTTGTTTGTCCATTGCATGTCGAGTTGCATGTTTCCTTAATTCTGAGAATAAGCTACATGTTTGCCTTTACCAGATAAAGAATATTATAACTATATATTGAATTTTATGTTCCGACTTTAACTTCTATATATGCGCCATGACATTATTTGTCACTCACAGTAGATGTTGGCATGATAAAGATCCCTCACTGCTACGACCGAAAGCGCTATGCACATGCCAAAAATAATGGCACTTCACTAAAAGAAAGTGACGTCCTCTATTTGAGAGAAAAATTCTCGATTGTGACGTTAAACAACACACTAATCGCTTTTGATGCTTTTAACTCTAAAGGTTCGTGACCTTGACCAGTTCATTCTTCGAAAATCGATCGTCTACACTGAGTCGTTTTTCACGATAGAGATCTAGCGTATATGGGGGAGGCTTAAGCTTTGTAAACTTACTTTTCTTCAAGATTTTATTTATTTCTCTATGCTTATTTGCAGCAGCGTTGTCAGGTACAGAAAAATACCCTGAGGACCCATATTTGGACTTGCTTTGCAGGAAATCTGCTTAACTTTCCTGAGTGAAACTTTAACATAAAGTTACCATTGATAGTTCTTCCTTTGGCTCTATGTACATGTCTTACTGAACCTCTCGAATAAAAAGAAAATTTATAAAACATATTTAGAGTCCTTGCTTCTCTTTGCAATAATAGGACTACAGCTTCCTCCATGATTCCACATTTTATTCTTGATCTTCCTTTTCGGCTATAAAAACTACACCCATGTTACGACATTTATCACTCAAGTTTATCAAGTCTTCTTTTTTGTAAAAATGTTCAGTTTAAAATAGACCATTGGGCCAGTTAACGTGTGTTTTACTTAAGCATTTGAAGGAAATAAGGCACCCATCTGATAGAATTATTGTTAGATTTACTTCATTTGTCAGAACTCTAAAAAAATTGTTGTGACAATGAATTGTTTAGCGTCTTAGCAATATCTATCAAAGTAAATCTGGCATTTTCAGATATCATCTTGCTCACAGCATTGATATTTTTTGTGCCCCTACAGATTTCGATTGACCAGTTTGACTGCGATCTTTTACTTGTGTACTTTTGAATTTCCGAATCCATCTGAAAACTAAACAGAGTGAAAGACTGGACTTTCTAAATATTAAAATCATATTTTTGATATTGGTTCTTCAGCTATTTATGTAATGAAGCACAGTTTTCACATACGCTCTCATTTTCATCTTCTTTGCAGAGATAAGTTTTTAAACAGTTATCAGCTCAGTGAAAAGGTGAAAAAGGAAAAAGCATGAGTTTTTCTGTGATTGGGAGTTCTTAAATAGAACTTTTGAACTGTTAAAAATTAAGATTAAATACTTCTACATTTATTATGTTAAACTGTATGTTTCATTACTTAATATTTACATTTCCAATGTCTTTGTCCGAGATAAAATTACAAATTGTAAAAATACTTTATTTCTACATAAATCTACTGGTTCATCGATAGGCGCGGTTAAAAAAAAATCACGTGCGGTGCGAGGCGGGACAAATAGAGACAGAAGCGGGGCTATTACCACGGGGATTTGCAGAATCAGGAGCATGTAAATATAAGGAATAACTGTCAGATTTTTTGGATTCATGACGATGATCAATCGATTGGCTTGCGTGATAATTTTATGCATAAACGCCTACGGCGTTTATGCAAATTATCACGCAAGCCACTCGATTGATCACATCATGAATCCAAAAAATAAGACAGTTATTCCTTAATTGAATGACCCTCGTATTCTATGCCGTTGCTTTCACGGTTTGTACATGTAAAATATTGATGAATGATGGGTTTGTACTTCTTCAAATAAAGCAATATCTTTTTACTGGTGATAGACATTTATCCCACAAATGATTGCCTGACGCCACGTGCGTCAGGCAGTATAAGGATTAATATTTCAGGGATCCGAAACTAAGCGATCATTCTTAATGAACTAGATTTTGTGCAAGCTGATTTACATCGGAATTTGTTACCTGCATTTAAACAAATACAGTGTGCAGAAGAAAGAATCACATAACTGATGCAAAATGATGATGTGTTTAATTCCTTCAATTTTTTTTGCATGCACATGTTTATTCTTTGCGATTCTTTGTACAGACATGTCCGTGTAACATTTTTTCTGCGTTTCTAAACTACTGGATCAGTCCATTTGGCTTCTATGAAAGGGGTGACACAATCATTTCGCACCAAATGTCACATGTAAATTATCTTCGCGCCTTTTTCTTGGGTTGTTCTATTGAATGGGTGTGATAACTTCTATGGAAATAAATAAAGTTTATTCTTTTAACATGATTCTTAAGCTCCAGATTTTTTTTATTAACAGTAAATTTTATCTCATTTTTTTTAGAGAACACATTGTATATGGACAGGCAACACTAAAGCAATGGATTTGCTGATTATTTTACTATTTATCCAATAAGTGGACTAGTCTAATCATAAACAAACTCCGGCCCTCCACCTAGTAAATGGGACATCCCTTCTTGATTCAGTCTGTTTTCCACCTAGCCTTTTTTTCAATATTACATATATTGATAATGTACGTTACAAGGTTAGGTTTTTAAAAATGCTTAGAAAGTCATGACGCGAGTAGCATCTTATTTCATGCTTTGTGATGAACAAGGGTTTCCTTTTAATACAGTGACAATAGTGTAGTCAGTAGCCGTAGCGGAATGGGCTTCACTCCCGTAATGTTCTAAGTAAAGAATCGGCAAAATGAAGAAGACATAATGATCTGTACTGGTTTTCATTTCATAAAAAAGCACGTTATTATAAATATGAGAAAGGTCCTGAAATCGATTGAAAAGAAAAACTAAACAATTTCAAAACTGTATATAAAGATGTATTTTAAACTCATTTATAAAACATGTATATGGTAAGACCATCATCGTGTGAGTTTGTCCGGGGGGGGGGGGGGTTATTAGTATCTTGTTTTGCGCTAGTTATAAAGTGTACAGGTCATTCACTTGGATTTCTAGAGCAGCATTGAAGCAGTTTTGTCTCAAACACTTCAAGACAACTTTCTCAGTTAAAACTGTTCATAATTTACTTCGTCGTCGAGAACGACGGAAAACAGACCAGTCTATAAATAGAGGCCGTCATCACTGACCAGGGAGTGTGCATGAAGAAGAGCGCCCTCTAGTAAGAGAGTACATGTAATATAAATTTCTTTAAAAAGAATCATCTAACTATTTTTTCCTCAGAATTATCAGTGGCGGATCCAGGAATTTCATAACGGGAGGGCGCAGTAGAAGGCAGGGGGTCTGGGGGGCTGTATTGAAACCCCAGTGGGTCCAAGGCAAAGCCCTGATGGGGGTTCGGCGGCGAAGCCCCCGGAAGCTGTCGAATTCTTACAAATGAGAGGTGTTTTTTCCTTGATTTTAGGATAATGAACATGTAAGTTCTACATACAAAAAATTCAAACGGGGGGGGGGGGGGGGCGCCGATGCTGGATCTGCCTTTGATTATAATCTACGCTAGCGCACTTGCAGTTTCATCCCAAGGTAACTAGTCAGCCCGTGGGCTAACTAATAAATGACCAAATAGTGGCATATCTTAGATATTCGTTAATCTGTAGTATTTGGTTATGACATTTAAGAAAGTCAATTGTACATCTTGTGTAATGAAGTATCGCAACTATGTCGCTCCTTGATGACGGAAACATTTAGCACCTCTCTTGCATATACGTTCCATAGATATTGATTGATTAGTCAGGCAAGCTTTTTGAAAAAGCTATTACTTGTTTATTCTGTTAAAACCTTCATCAATTATATTTGAAAATCCTACAATTCGAACCATACACGCACCCATCTCTTGTTTGCAACTTTTAATTTGTCCGCAAGTGATGAAATTTTTTTTGGATCCTTGATTTTTTTAATTTTTAGAAAAGTAGAATTGTCTTTAATGCCAAATTTGATGCTTTTCGCGCTATGTACAAATGGATTTAAAAAATGGCATTGTAGTGCACGTTCGCGCTTGAGAGCTGGGAGAATAGAGTCCGACCTACAGATACATGTGGTGAAAGCTCATAGTTTGTCTTAAGCCGCTGCTTGAATCTCGGGAAAAAAAATCAATTTGAAATTCTTCGTTTTGAAACTTTTATTTCATTTTACACTGTTTAGAAACAAATCATTTGAAAATGCTTGAACAGTATCGATCTTTTCATAATATAATTATGTAAACATAATATAGCGTACTATTTCATTGACTCATGAATCCTTTTGAAGTTAAAAAAAGGTTGAAAGTTAAAAACGCAATGAATTTGATAACATCTACACAGAATGATTTCTACAATATATATATAGATTTTAAATAGAATGGGTATTATTTATGATTCAGATTTCAGTGCATAACAAGCAGAGACCTAAAGCACGCTGTTTCATTCCTGTATAAAGGTATGATTAAGCACATAGCACTAATTCAATTAAGATTACGCAAATAAGTACGTGTACTGCTTATGCAATAAATTTTGAATGCTTTAAAAAGTAAATTATATAAATAAAAAGAGAATAATGAGTCTAAATAAGCAGTAAATGTCATGATGGCGCAATTGCAAACTGCACACAGTTGTGATGGCGAGCGGAAAAATCACCGTGTTTTAATGGTCGTTTTTCGAAGTTGGCTTTCATTATAACGTCAATAAATTTCTTCTGTTTGATTTCCCGAAAAGCATTGGCCAAGGCGTCCACCATTTCAACGCTGGCCACTTTTCCTCGCCATTTCCAGAGAATTTCGAAGTTGGTGATGACGGGCGGCTGGTCAAGCGCCTTGATGTCAAGGATATCCTCGTACGGAAGACGTAAAGCGACACCTAGCGTGGTGGCGTACTGATGTGGAAGTGCACCTGCCAAAACTAGTAGGCTTTGATGACTTAAGACCGGGACTTCATCTGAAAAAGAGAACGATACAAAATGAAGCTGAAAACGCAGTGAAATCCAGAACAGGAAAGGAAAATATTAGAACAAAAAACTTTAAAAAAAAAAAAAACATTTACCGAACATGGAACGATAAACAATGGTAGATCTGACGGATTTACTCGATTTCTGAGAACCACGTGACCACGTGACTCGACCCATCTGAGAAGCTGAAAAAAAAAAGAAACTTGTATGCATTACAGGAATTATTCTTTAACTATACATGCATTACAGCAGTTATTCTTTAACTATACATGCATGGTAGGTAAATACAAATTATTTCAAAAGTATAGCTCTAAATAATTTTTTTTATTTGGTTCGGTTTAAATATAACTGGCAATTTTTTAATCATGCGTTATATATAAAAATTATCAAGTTCCACACATATTTTCACCATTGAAGGACTGCAGGAATACATTTAAAAATCTTACATGGTTTGGCATCTGCGTGAGATGTCGGCAGCCGCGGACCACTGACAAGGAACCGCTCTGTCTCCATGGAAACCAAATGAATACACACATCTTCCTGTCCAGATTCCCGGTAGTAATTTATAATACCAATTTGTCTTCCACGGGGATCCCGTCTAGGTTCAATAGGAAACGACCTGTAGTTTTGATTAGAACTGCTGAGGTATGAAATAAAGTAATGTTCATGTGAAAGATCTCTTATTTTTCCAATATTCCCCTCTAGGTCTATTCGCACGACGTCATAATCTTTCATGCGTATATCCGGCGATCTACTTCCGGGAATTTCAAAGAGACCCTCTTTCATGCGCATGCGCATAGTTCTTTTCAAGAATCTCTTCTCTACCACTTCCGACCATAATTTTACCACCCCACTCTGAAGCGAGGATCTGTCCATCAGTGTTAAAACGGTACAAATGTGTTCAGTCTCGTAGTAAAGATTAAACTCGTCAATGATGGCGCGACGATTTTTCTTCATCTGCCTTTTGTTTGCTTTTCCAACAGCCAGTCTATAAAAAAATGAAATTGATTGTTCCGAGTTAATAACATGGAATTCTGTTATGAACTGTTCTAAATCTTATTTAATACATTTTCATTGATATCAACATTCGATTAATTCTCTTTCGATGATAAATTTATTAACATCTTTGTTACTCGTTTTATCTGAGTTTTGTGCTAATTCATATACAATACATAAAAGAGTTTTGCCAGTATTTATTAAAAGAATTAAGAAAACATAACATGCCATATTGAAACAAGTGTCTTTTGATATAAGAAAAATAAAATCTAATAATAAATTTTCGCTTGTTCTTATTCAAGAATATGTGTAACATAAATTAAACTTCATGCGCAAAGAGGAGCAAATTCAGCATGTGAATTAAACGCAAAAAGCAAAGGTGCGCTCTCGACAAATCGTATGATGTGCAAACCAGAGCATTGTACTTGTACCTGCAACTAGAAGCGCCATTTCTACAATCAGATAACAACCTTGTGAAAATCTCTGAGCTTTCTTTATAGTTCGCACCTATCAACTTACACACAAGCAGGTAATTTTCTTTTAAAACTATTTGGCTGCAAGCCGCAAAGAAAGAAATCACTTTTACTTCTCAAAGTATTACATGTTATATATATGTTTATCAAACATACCCACAAAATCGGTCAATTTGGAAGGTGTAGCAATTCCCTGTTGATTCACACCGCATAGCCATTGGTCGTGGAATCACTTCCACCTCGCCGTCAGCCCGCTTCCGGAACACAACTATCTCTGTTTCATAGTCGTCCATGTCGTTAATAATGGGCATGTGCACAAGAGCAGGTTCGTTGATTGTGACGTCATCATCATGTTTTATGAAAATGACGTCCGATATACAAGTGACATATTTGCACATGTCTGGGCATGTCTCCTTGTATGAAAATATTCTGTTTCTGTTAAGCTGGATTAACTGTAACATCCAAAACAAAACCTTCATCACTTGCAGATAAACAATTTTCTGCATCCACTCAAATGTATTTAATATCTAAAATCATCTTTGATATAACCATTTCAAAATTTACATTACACTACTGTCGGCTATCTTACTCTGAACTGTACGATACATGGGCGACTGAAGCAGTTTTGAGGGAAGTTAATTCGAATTCTCGAGTCATCATCCGACATGTAAGTAAATCCTGCTGGAGTTATCTCCCTGTGATAGGGCCGATAACCTGCCACGACGACGAAAGCCTCCATGTAGCTTGCCTTAAACTCACATTTACCTGCCTATTTAAATAAAATAATACAAAATATTTAAACCAGAGCTTGCATTTTTGGGGTCCTCTCCTTTTTCCCAAAGGTAAAAGCTTAATCTTTTTGAAAATTGGATTTGAATATCCATGGCCATTCTCAACTTTCTTTCTTGAAAAATGCTTAAAAATCATTATAATTTCTCAGTCAATAAAAACAACAAACTTACTATGATGTCGCCTTCGACGTCAGTCCACTTGTCCCCCGTTTTTGTTTTCACACGGACTGTAGCAGATGCCGGAAATGACGAATGATGAATTGGAGACCGAAGAGTTATTTTCTCTTGGCAACGAAATGCACTTCCGGTAACCTGGAAAAAGTCAGACACATAATGTTGTCCGTCGTGCAGTTGAATTCCCGCCATTAGTGTTGATCGAGATTCTATCGGACACTGAATAAAATCACAATGCGAAATCAAACCGAGGCTCTCTAACGGCGCCACTGCGTGAACTCCATCACCAAGGTCTATGTAGTCCAATGTCCTTAATAGATAAAAAAAAACGTGCACATGTAAGTCAACAAAATAAACATCAACTTTAAGAAAATTTCATGTAAAAGCCGAGAAAGAGACTAATTTATTGATAAAGAAAATTACCCGCTTGTTTTACCAATGGTGTAAAATGCATCTGTACAAATGTTCCCAATCCTTAATACCATTTCGCGTAACTCATCTGTAGACAGTCTGTTAAAGATAAATATATCTCAGGAGAATAATTATTACCATGAATGTTAATGTCAAATAATTATTAATCATACACAACCAAAATTATATTATAAATTCATAAAAGAATTATTGCAATTATGCTAGGTGCTACGAGCATGATGCAACATTATTCCATGGTGTGTGGGAAAAGGTAAGTAAAAACTGTATAGAAAGTTACTTCGATGATAAATATTAGCATCGGTCTTCGATTCATATATGGAATAAATTTGGTGATTTCTACGAAAATTCAAGAAATACATGTCCTAATTAACAGAGATTGAAGAAAAAACATATCGTCAAGCTAAATTCTTACGTGTGTAGACCATGTGACACAGTGGCCTCGCTAACGAAGGATGCAATGTTTGTTTGAACAAGCTTTTTCTTTCCCTTCGAGGCGTCATCTTCAAATCTAGAAAAAAAATAATGGTCTAATGGAACTGTGTTTGCCACAATAATAAACTTTATATATTTTCCTATTTTCTATTCTTTGTGTTGAATATCATGCAATGTTAAAATTTACTTGAGTCTCTTGAGTAAAATTTTGGCACTTCTGAACAGCTGTAAAATTCCCGCTAAAAACCCAGAGTAGGTCCCGGGGGCAGTGTGACTGTATCTACAACAAGAATGATACAGTCTCAGAAATTATGCTTTTACGACACCAACCACCTTTTAATGCAATAACAGATAGTATAAACCCTAACAGAAAATTGCTTAAATCTGAGCTTGAAAATGACTTAAATTCTCACATAAGATCCTTGTCCAGGCAGTTGTATTTGACATGAAGCCCCAGACCGTAGAACAGACCGTGAATTGGTTTCAGTAAAGGGATAATGTTTAACTGGAAGCGTTGGAGGAACACTAACAGTATCTCCCCGGTAATGGAGGCCACATCAGAGGACAGCTCCATAATGTCCATAAGAATGCCATCCTTGTATCTGGAATATGACCAGTGTAATTCATCGAACACTCTCAAATCTCATAGGTCACGTGCTGACTTTAATTCGAATGAAAATTACAATTATAGTTTTGAAAAGAAAGGGACATTTTCATTAATAATTTATAAATCACGTGCTGAATATGCTAGAGGGAAGCCAAAATAAGATTGTCTACAATGTTTCTTTAAAATTCGCATATTTTAGAAATAGCAAAACGGCAGTTGACGACTTGGCAATACCCATACGCACTTTCTCCTTTCTGGATCCGCCACTTTTTGCCAGATCTCTACAATGTTGTAGAAGAGAAGCTGAAGGCCATTAATGTCCTTACAATAGTTGTCCACATCCTGATCCGTGTGGCTGTAGATGTGAAAGAAATATAAAAGTATCGTAACCTCTCGATGCTTACAAATATAAAATGATTACAGTAATATGTAAAAGACATGCCAATGGATAGTATAACAATAAGTACATGACATTGCTCATTTAATCTATGATCATATGACAATTCTATTTCAGGTTAAAAGGAACACAATGTATAAAAGTGTACGCGTCTACTATAACATGTTTATCTTTCATAAATTTCCCCTCAAAATTAAGATTTTCCTTGTCTTCAATAACTTCCTCAATGTTACTCTAATTTTTCCTTTGGTTTTAAATTTATAGATGCATGATGCATACTTTCCAGAAAATATAATTATTTTAAAAACACCTTTATTGTTTTAATCTTTTTCCCCAATCTGCATGCATCGCCCTCTGACGTATGAAAACAAATAAGAACAGAAAGAAATAATTCAGAGATTCCATGCATGAGCAGTTAATATGCATGTATGCCTCTAGATTTCAAGGTATATATTGACAAAACATTCATTTGGCAATTGTAAAATTGTATAAATCAAATAAACATACTCACTCTTCACTTTCTCTGACCATGATACGCAGTCGCCCCGTCAGGTCTAGAGTTTCACTGATGAGTGACCGCAACAATGAGATTTCCTCGTCCTTGAAACTAGAGGGAATAAGAAAAAATCAGTCACAATGATGCTAATGCTAAAAGAAATAATTAAAATTTATTCAGAATAATATGTTGGAAATACACAGAACTATTTTAGATGTCAAACGGTATCGAAATTTTATAGACCTACGCAATAATATTACCTTTCTATAGAAAAGATTCTATAAATCTTACTATGCATCGAGCCAAGATAGTATCACATTTCCTTATCTACAGGTCTTCCAACAATATGTTGGAATTGCAAAGGGCAGTAATTGTGCTCCTTTTTTAGCCGACCTGTTGTTATATTCCCATGAGCAGAATTTATTCAAAAATTTCTACCTGAGAAGAAGCAAAATCTTAATGTGGTCTTCAGCTCAAATTTAGATATAAATGTAATCTATATATGTAATGTATATATAAAACGACGTTTTATCATTAAAAAATATTTACTTTCATTTATATGTCGACTCGATATATCCCAGTGAACTCCAAATAAAAGACACTACAAAGACTGCTACATTTGTTTCATATTTGGATGTTTTACTTCGTATAGACAATAATGGCAAACTAATAACAAAACTGTATGACAAACGGGATGACTTAAGCTTTTCCATCGTCAACTTCCCTCATTTATGTAGCGATATTGAAAATATTGATTATATTTGAATACGACCAATTTTTAAACGGAGAAAAGCTACTGACAAATAAATTGATCTTTTAAGGATTTCAACTACCTCGTTTAAAGTCAGCTTTTTCTATTTCTACGGTCATTATAATGACCTTGATCTTGTATGTAAATATAACCATCGCATTATTTTTCTGACATGTTTCATACAAATTGTTAGGACATTGTACATGTATTTATACTAAAATTGACTAAGAAGTACTCCGTCTACCTGATCAATACATGAGGCTCACGGTAGGTAAAACCGTCGACAGGGATGTTTATTTCCCCTAGGCACCTGATCCCACCTCTGGTGTTTTGTTTAATTGATTTACGAGATTGATCACTGTTCATTATCTTCACCTTTTACATTACATTTAATTTATTTGGAGCTGTACTTAACTTTGTTCACCCAAATTTAAGTGACTTTTCAATCTAATCTTAACTAATAATTTTACGTGAAAACTTTTAAAGGAAAGGTTACCTTTCTTTTTTGTAAAGACTACATCGTATTTTCCACAATCTCTCTACGTCAGACTTAACCTTTGCCCCTGGATCTTGTTTCTTACTCAAAACACTGCAAATAAACAGTAAAAGCTGAAGCATAAAAAGGGGGATGAATTTTAGCTATATTATAATCCATGTAAATGTGCGCAGTATTCAGAAGTACTATGAAGCAAAGTATAAGTCTATGATAAATGTTGGTACAGTCGCGCCTCGTTAACCCGGACACTTGTGTCCCCCAAACTAATTGTTCGGATTAATGACGCATCCGATTTACTGAAATGTAACTTTTATATTAGTAGACATAAACCGAAATTCTGCACCCCCCTCCCCCTAAAAAAAATCCTCCGGAAAGTGAATTTAAGCGCCCAGATTATCGGTGTGCGGATTATCGAGAGTTGACAATATTCTCTTTAATGACACTTTGAACGCAGACTAAAAATTAAGATTTGCAATTCTGCTTTTTTCTTTTTAGCTTTACCTGTTCAAGGACCTGGGTGTGAAGGCACCAGCACTTTGTGAAACTCCCATTTTCACATGAAAACTTTCAAAAATTAATTAACACTGATTTTTGGATTTTCACATATTGCAGTTTCTCTATTATTTGTCGTTATGTCACATGTAATTTCTCTCAATAAACAGGATTTGTAGGTCCCTGGATTCGGATTAGAGTTTTAATCTCAGATTAACGAATGCAGTTGTTTAACAAGCAATCTTGTTAATTTTTCTCCTAATTATACACTTAAATATACGTGTTGCATGACCAGTTTCAATTCAAGTTGCATGCTCTGTCAAATTTATGATATTTTGATAAGTACGGATCAGCTCCTTTAGAGTAGAATTAAAATTCATTGTTTCCAATGGAAAGAAGTTTGTCATTTTCTCTGATTAAGATTTCATATTTCTGAAGTGTTCAAATACACAGAAATACTGTCTGAAAGCATGTGCAGTAGTTTACCACCAACCCTTTTCTTTAAAAATAAAACAAATTTAGGGGCGGATCCAGGATATCAAGTACTTACAATACTAGAACTTCAAGTGCTTCAAGAAATTGAATAGTACCCTAGTACGCAGGGGAGGGACCACCCTCTTTTTTTTGGAAGTGTTTTGTCGATAATTATGTTATTTTCATAATTTGGCAAGCTGCCACCTCGCCCACCCTTTTTGTTGTATTATGTTGGAACTTTTTTCTTAAATTGTAAATTATTTTGTGCCTCTTTCCCACATGCATGTGTACACTCTAAAAAAACCTAAAACTTTTCTTAGAATATATCCATACATGCATGTATGTTTGTTGCCTACAAAACATTTCTTTTTTATTTTATAAACTCATTTTTGGGTGAGTTTGAGAATTGGCGGGGAGGAGCGGGTACCTCATTACTTATTTCAGCACCTAAAATTTCATTACTCATTTCAGCACCTAAAATTTCATGACTTATTTCAGCACCTAAAATTTCATGACTTATTTCAGCACCTAAAATTTCATTACTCATTTCAGCAACTAAAATTTCATGACTTATTTCAGCACCTAAAATTTCATTTCTTATTTCAGCACCTAAAATTTCATTACTTATTTCAGCACCTAAAATTTCATTACTTATTTCAGCAACTACAATTTCATTACTCATTTCAGCACCTAAAATTTCATTAATTATTTCAGCAACTAAAATTTCATTACTTATTTCAGCAACTACAATTTCATTACTCATTTCAGCACCTAAAATTTCATTACTCATTTCAGCACCTAAAATTTCATTAATTATTTCAGCAACTAAAATTTCATTACTTATTTCAGCAACTACAATTTCATTACTCATTTCAGCACCTAAAATTTCATTACTCATTTCAGCACCTAAAATTTCATAACTTATTTCAGCAACTAAAATTTCATTACTTATTTCAGCAACTAAAATTTCATGACTCATTTCAGCACCTAAAATTTCATGACCTATTTCAGCACCTAATATTTCATTACTCATTTCAGCAACTAAAATTTCATTACTCATTTCAGCAACTACAATTTCTATTTTACTTTAAATTTAATTGCAATTATAAAACAATCTTATTTGCTTCTTATTTCATAAAGTGTTGAACGATTGCTCTGAGTAATACATGTAAGACTGCATTTCTACTGCGGAAAGCGAAAATCTTACAGGAAGTATATCGATCATTACTCTACTGAACTTGTACATACATTCCACTTACCTGCGATTAGTTTGACTCATTTTAGTGAATTAAACTCGTCTCCAAAATCATAACTGACTACATTGTCAAACATGACAATGCCTTTTCAGATCAAAACATATTTTTCTCTTATAAAAGGCAAGGTCAATTATCGTATGGAAGATTACATGTATATGTCATAACATTCCGAACGTTATATTTATCTTCGAACTCTCCTTTAATCTTAATTTATAGCGCTAATTACGAGTAAATCCGATTAGACGTTTTACCTTTTGACCACGTTTTCTAGAGTATTTACTGTTTTACTGTTACGTGGTCTTACAGCCTTTATAAAGGATCACTACAGTTTGTGACTTCATTGGGCTTTATCAGAGGGCATCACATTTATTTATTGAAATGATAAAGCAAACGTGTAGCCACTATTATTGCGAGAAATACAAGAATTTATCAAAACCATATGTTTGATCCGCTCCCTATAATTTGTGCATTTTTTGGACATGTTACGTATATATATTTGAGAGTGGATCAAACAGTAGATTTTTATACTGAAATGAAAATTTCAAAAGAGCATCAATTAATTTATCATTAAATTATTTTTTAACTTCCATTTTTTTTTATCTTTACAGAAACTAGAAATCTTCTAGTGAACCAGTAATTAAATGCTTTTTGATCAGCATCGATGCCTAAATTGAATTTGAAAATCAACTTTTCCATGTATGTTTTCCGATATACGAATTAAATCATAAATTTTACATTTATCTGCAAGGAGTATGCAAGTCTCCATTAGTGTCTCTATGACAATAGAGATAAAATGTTCTGAATCTAAATCGCAAGGTCATAGTAGTTAAAGGGCTGTTTTACCTCGGGAAATAGATCTGATCTCGGGAAATGATAAAACATCGTATAACGACTCTCCTATAAATTAAACGTGATGTTCAGATGAGGAAATTGTGGGTGGTTTAACTGAATGAATAATTACCTATGCATGTATATTTTGCTTATATTAAAAGCTTGAAAGAAACGGAAGAAAATTCAAGGGTTTACTTGTAAATAAACCACATTGTTCATTTTTAAAAATAATACAAAATAATGTACATGTATAGATTAAAATTATTTTTTTTTTCTTTACAAAACTCATCATACCATATTGGATATATATAAGTCTGATCTACCTGTAATATTCTGAAAAAGAATAACGTAATTATAAACATGGTATTACTTTAAAGAAATGTAACACAAGTGTGAATCTGCTGGCAAGCTTAAATACAGTAATAGTGAAATCTCTCAAAACCGCCCCGCCTCCTCATGTCAATCGTTTTAATTTCCCCTAAATATTGGCGTCAATTCATTATATAAACGTGTTCGCTATAAGCGTGGTTTACTGTACTTATCAGCCAGTTTAAAAAATTCGAACCTTTTTGTGGCCCTCTGGGCGAGCCTTTTGAACATGGAGGGTTTCCTCTGTAATTTTTCATCCTCTGTCCTCTCCCCTTCCTCCCTAAACGAGACCCTCCTTGCCCTAATTTTGGAAATCCTGCTGGCAACATCCGCCATGCTAAATCTCTTGGTGATCCTGGATGATCGAGGTTGGTGGTTCAATTCCTCTGTCGTCTCGTTTATCGTTTTTTCGTCACAACTCTCCTGGTTGGAGTTATCTTCTTCATTTTTCTCTAAACTTTTTGATTTCCCAGCCTTTGAAAATGCCAACACTGATTTAATTTTTATTAATTGAACATTCGGGTTGGTAAGAATTGACGCTCGGCGAAATTCTTCATGGCGAAGGTTGATTTCTTTCCACGATGGTTTTTCTTGGTTGTCCGTGTATTGAACTGTCTTTACGCATTGAGGTTCTATGACCTTCTGAGAGGATCTCCACGTACAGAACATCCCTAAGATATAATATAAATTGAACGGATATAAAAAATAATTATCATAAAATAAAAATGCATATGAAAAGTATGAAGCATGAAATAATTTAAGATAATCTTTACACGAATGAAAGGATAGGATATAGGTAGAACACCATCGATATGGCAAAAACACAAGCCTGCAAGTATTTACCGACAATGCTACTGACGTTCAGCCCCCCCCCCCCGCCTCTTCCCCCTTCTGATGGCCCACTTTCTACAATCGGTCGATCTTCGTTACCATTGAAATAAAAATAAATAAAGAGACGTGCATTTTAAATGGCATGTTAATATTTCCTTATAGTTTTAGTTGAGTAAAGAGAAAATGCATTTCGTGACAGTATGTATATTAAAACTTACAGAAAATCTCATTTACATATACTATACGTAAATGAGATTTTCTGAAAGTTTTAACTAGATATTCACTCAATTTGATAATCACTAGTTTGTCTTCATTAATCATCAACCAAATAAAATTTTCCTTTTTCGTTAAATAGAAAAAAAAAGTTCTCAAGGTGATTTTGGATATATTAGGGGGGAAAAACACATAATTGCATATGATGCCAGCTCAAAACCTACTCGAAGGATTCAGTAAACACTGAAGTGCACAATTTACATATAGTAAAAAGTTCATGAATTTACAACACTTTCCAAAAATAGACTTACAAGGAGCTCATTCATATCTTACCGCAGTGGATTACGGGTAATTAATTTTACTCCTAAGTGCACCCTGTCTGCATTTCCTGCCAAATTTCGATATTACTATCTACCGTTAATTATTAAGGAACATTTGTTTCGTACAACACATAGCTACTAGCCAACAATTAGGTACAAAATCCGCTTAATCGTGTATTACATGTATAAAGAATGAATTAATCTTTGAAAGTTAATCTGGATTTAATAAATGAACGCTCAAAAACTGAATTGCAATATTTAGCAGGTAAAGGTTCACGTAATCAAGTTGTTTCATAGTATATATATATCATATTACAACCTTTATACGTGTATGTTTTCCCTAACAGCAATGACTGAAATACGTGAGGATCGGAAAATCTTAAGCCCCCTCCACATCCCCCCAATTTTCCAATTTCTCTGTAAAGAAGTCAATGTATATATTTAGTTCTAGACTAAATATAATAATATTTAATAAATTAATCTAATAATTGAAATTGAAATACAACTGTAGATTCAAGAATTTACCTTTATTTAAGAAATGCAGATATATAAGTGAGCCGCAATTTTCTTCCTCTGAATTCAAATAATTTCTTAGCAAAAGAGGGGTCAAGCTGAGAGAGAGAGAGAGAGAGAGAGAGAGAGAGAGAGAGAGAGAGAGAGGGAGAAATTGAATGAAAACCTTAAACAGAGCATGCATTTTTGTAGCGTTGATACATAATTTAAAGAGCCATTCTATTTTAATTTTCGTTCTTGATCTAAATAAATGCCTTCCAATCCTCTCTCAACAACTGTGATTGGTTATGTTTACAATGCACTTATATGCATTTTGAAAATTTATTTAATTCAAAATATCCAAGGAGAGTGCGATATTAATAATGACGTGTATATGAATATAGTTACGTAATACACATGTATATATATAAATTTCATTATTGTATTAATTTCCCTGCCATCAATTCCATTTGTCGTGTTTTCTTTCATTTTTGCTAAATATTTTTGATACCTAAACATGTTTTTATTTCCTTATCACTACATATTCCACTAAAACTGCACAAAAAATGCAATAAATTTAAAAACTCTCAGCGCGCCATGAAAGAGGAAATAAAATTGATTACCCCGTGGTGGGCCCCCTTCCGCAGTCTCAGCACTCAAGGCGGATGTAACGTATATTGTGTGAGTGTGTTATGACTGTTTTCCTTCGGATAATATTTTCAAGATGGACGCATCGATAGCATGGCGATGTTTACTACTCTTCATTATAGCTAGTAAGTGATCTGCATATCCCTAATTATGTTTTTCGTTGTTTTTTTTTTTCTCCCTGTGATCCGGTGGTCGTAGCCTGCCTGTATCTGGTCTTTATTCAGGAAGTGACTAGATACACTCTCATACATAGTATAAATGTTTTTTGATAAAATGAAGGGCGATTTTTTGTTTTATTTGGAATGTTTTTCCTGCTCCAATAAAATGCACCTAGTTTATCGTACTGTTGAGAAAAAATGACACGATCTTCCTTAATGTATTTTAGTACTATGATTACTACATGTATCATGGCTGTTGTCTGTATACGTTTATAATCATTTAGACCCAAAACAATTATTGATACTTTTTGAAAAATTTCGAGTGGAATGAAATGTATTTACATATTTGGAAATCCCCCTTGCTTAGTGTCAAAGTATGCTCCTTATATTGGAAGACTCGCGTATCTTATATAGCCCAATTATAACACGCCCCGGTACATACATGTATATGTATAATAGCCTCTGTGTTTGCCGTATTTCTGTGTTGTCTAAGAACGGGAAGTTATGTCAAACCCTTGATGTCTGAAATGTGTACACTTGATGCAGCGGAAAAAAAACTATGTATGCTGAAATAACACAATTCACGATCTCTGAATGGGTCTGTATTTGTTGACCTTTAAACAATACCTTAATCTTTCATTCAGTTGTAAAATAACATCATTACCATAATCTGCAGCGTTGACAGTGGATTGTCGGTCTTTCCTACCTCCGGGACACAAAAAAGTATCCGTTTCATCGCCCGTTTTGCCAATGTTCAGGAAGAAAGGTTTTATCACCTAACCAATATATAACCGACATCCAGTGAAAAGTTCTTTTTTTTTCTCTTTTAGATTTGTTAAATATTTAAAATCACTTATCAAAATAAACCCTGGTGTGTAACCCAGGTTACCAAAACATTTATGAACATTTGCCCCAGAAATTCTGCTTTCGTTCGGGTTAAGTTTTGGAAAAGATGTACACTCAATATGTTTATTTTGAAATAAACCAGTATCAATTAGAAACATATAGATTTCGGAAATATCAGCTCTTTAATTTCATTATTATACACATCAGTATAGTCAATTCAATAACCGGTTCTTTTGTGTTGCTAATTAAGTTGATTCACGACAAATACAAATATAGAGAATGAAAGATGGAGGAAAAATTGGCCTCCATAGGAAAATTAAAGGGAAAATCAATAGATAGTATCGAATTATCACATGTCCCAGAAAACACACAATAAGATAATAGTTTTGGTTTGTGTGGGACAGGGAAATCTCATTTGATGCTCTCTCTGTCTCTCTCTCTCTCTACTTATAATAGCTTAATGTTGTATTATAGAAAAGTACTATAGTTTATTTTATAGCTTATAGCCTTTCCTTTTTCTTGCTGACCTGTCGAATATGAAAAGCAGCTATGTGTCCTTGAAATATTTTATTAAAGCATATTTTTTAAATGAACGCCGAAGAAGCAGCTCAAATACACAGAGTATACATTTGATTTACCACTGCATCTGTAATACCTACAATATAGACTTTTACATGTACATATTTAAATCTATATCTACTATTTGACGTCTTTATTTCTTTCCGATTTATAATCCTTATCTTATCTAAATTCCGCCCTCGCCTTTTTCTTCAAATCTGAAAAAGCTATATAGATCCTGCATGTGTATGCTCAGAAAAATTAGTCACCCGGGAAAAACTACACGACTGTTCAACATAAATGAGATCGAAAAAAGGTTTCACCCATTCTAAAATATACTGGAACTACATGATCTATTAACCATATCATTGCTGATGCATTCATGTTTGTTGTATTTATAAAGTGTCAATATTTATTGCTATAAAAACTATTTATTCAACATTTCCAAGATTTTGCAAAAGAGAATTTCATTTTGGAATTAAGGCATTCCATCCCTAATATGACCCAATTCCCTATCCTAAAATATCCGCAAATAGAAAAAAACCCGTTGATATTACATGTTGAAATAGAAAGGGACTCACCAAGAGAACTTTTCAGAAATATAATTACCTACATATGCAGTAATTAATCAAAATAGATTGCATTTAAGTATATGGGGACACTCGAACTTTTAGAAATAAAATTCAAATAGTACAAATGTTAGTGTATAATAATCATGATAATAAATGCTGTGGTGGGAAAGATGCCTTTAAATATTAGGAATACATAACGAATGAAAACAATTTTTTTACCGATTTTCTGATTATTAAAAACCAAGGGAGATAACTATTCAAGGACAGGTCAAGGTCATTAACACATTTAGCTCTTTCATACTGATAGGTATAATTATAAATGGGATCTAAATATACTGAGTATACAATCCGTATATATCATAGGCCTATGGTATATATCTGTTATATACTAGTTGTCAATTTCATTCAATCTGATAGTGGTGGAACATCAAATTAAATAATTGCGTTGGTAATATATTGATTTATACAATATTTTAATCTTCATTCATTAATATATTTTATTTCTATATGTTTTTGTGCAACTTTCATATTTAGGCATCTATAAACATGATAAAAACAACAGCAACAAAAAACATCGAATTTCTTCCTTAATAGAAAAATGGCTGAAAGAATATATTTTGAGAAACAACATAAGTAGGTCAAACACAATTACATATATTATAAAGTTAAGCAGAGAAATGTTATCTACGGCAGTAGCTGCTAACGTTAGAAACAGGTAGGAGTCCATGCACCCCAACCTTCCATCCAATTTGGGATTTCTGATTTCTCTGACTCTTAGAAAGTAAAAGAAAAAAATGATTGAAAAAGTGAGGTGGCGTATGAATTTAGGATGAGTTGCTTTCCTTCATCTTAAATAAACGTATAACTCTCGTCCTACCATTACGATGGGTCCGTTTTTTTCTAAGGAGGGGAGGGGAGGTTCCAAGGTCAATATTTAGTTACTGGGCTATCATTTTAATTATTCCGAAAATACCGGGGATGGGAGTCTGAACCCCCTGAGTGACCCCTCTCTAGATCCGCGCCTGCTTACATGTACCCCCGCTTTTATCTTTATTAAGGCGGGGGTTAAAGACAGAGGAATCTTTGAATACCTAATCTGTTGTATATGATTTTAGCTGTTGAAAAGTGCATATGATTTTACAAATGTCACACTCGCTAGATTTTCTGATAACAATCTTAATGCTCAGCACAAGCTTCCTGAGTCCCACATTCCTGGAATTCTTATGAATATGAACTTGCATGGCTCTTTTGATTTTTTATAAACAAAGTTTACACAATGTCACAACCCATATATACGATTATTGTTAGTCATAAAAGTTTCTCATTTTGCATCTCGTTTTGAAGTTTATGCATTTGTTGTCTCCTGTTTAAGGAGTCTTAATCCTATTCTAGCCATCCATCTTTAAAGCTATCGAGTATTGATTGTTTATTATTGATGAGAATGTTAGTCATAGACACATGACAGAGGAAATATGTGCTGACTCTTGGATTACTCACCCTAAGAAATAAGATTAAGATCGAGTCCATATTATCACATTAATTACACAATACATATAACATACATATAATACATAAACATATAATACATATTACATTTTTACAGCGAATATATGTATATCATGATGTTCAGGTCTGTATAAAGAGTTTTCAGATTTGAGAGAGAAAGAGCAGAAGTTTAATTGGATGGGTAGCTGGGTTCAGAAGGGAATGAAGGGGTGACAGTGCCAAGATTTAAGATAACACCCCCCCCCCCACCCCCAATATAAAAATTAATAATTTTTGCCAATAAACCAAAGTGTGATTCTTTAAAGGAGGGGGTTAAAATTTTCAGTACTTTGTAAACTGCATGTCAAAATACCAGTGTCATCGTGAAGATTGAATGTTTTTTTTTTCACAGATGTCAAAAGAAACTATTGAACTTCGTTAAATTTTCTTGACGGAAATATTGAAGGATGGATCACCTTTTCTGATCACCCGTTGTTCAGCGTCCCTTCGTCCGTCTGTCATTTTTTCACATATTCAACTCCTTTTCAAGAACCATTGGGCTATTTTTAAAAAATGCAAAAGGCAAAAAATAGGGTAGGGTCATTAAAAAATCTTGTCAAGAACCACTGGACCAGAAAAGGTGAAACTTAGTTGGAGGCTTCCTGGGTAGTGTAGATTCTAAATTGTTCAAATCATTGCCCCAGGAGTAGGGTGGGGTCACAATAGTTAAAGTTTTACATTGAAGTATACAGGAAAAATCTTTAAAAATTAAATCTTCTTCTCAAGAAGTGCTGGACCAGAAAAGATAAATCTTATGTGAAGTCTTATGTGTAGATTTTAAAATTTTCAAATCATAGCCCCCATGAATAGGGTGGGGCTACAAGAGATAATCAAATTTTTACATTGAAATATAAAGAAAAATCTTTACAAACAACAGCATTCTAAGCTACTTTGAATTCAAGTTTGTACGAATCATGACCCCCCCCCCCCCCGCCCCCGAGTAAGGGCGGGGCTACAATAGGAGTGCAAAGTTTTACGAACGAATATTTAGGAGAAAATATTTTAAAATCTTCTCAGGGACAGCAAAGCTATGGGTCTATGGGTAGTAAATTAAATATGGAAACTACCTCACGTAGCGAAGATTTAAGTTTGTTGAAATCATGACCCCTGGGGTTGGGACTGCAAGAGGCGATCAACTTGTACATAGGAATATATGATAAATTAAAAAAAAATCTTTTCAAGAACAGCTTAGCCATGATTTCTCATTTTTATATGGACGCATCTTCAAGTAGTGTAGATTCAATTTGTTCAAATTATGGCCCCTGGGTATAGGATGGGTTTTACATTAATATTTTGTATAACTATACAGTGGAAACACTGAAGAAGTCCACAAGATGGACCAACGTGTGACTCAGGTGAGCGTTGTGGCTTATTTATAAGTCTCTTAAAATGCACAATAGATATTTATTCAAAAATCTGATTCAAGTGTATCTTATATATTGTATA